TCAAAGACAAATACTSTCAAGCCAATCTGCAGGCTACAGAATGAGTGCTCAAGTGCTGTATGCCATGGGGTTACCTGTATTTGTGATGAGCAGAAATCAGAGCCTCTGTTCTATCACCAGTATCTATCATCTCTGCAGTACATACCTGTTCACGATTGCTTTCAGACAAGCTGTGCAATTTTGTCAAGAAAAACCTAATTGTTGTTCAAGTCAAACACTGCAGTAGGACATGATTTGTTTTCTTAAACAACAATCTCATTGAGGTGCTCAGGTGGCCTGTCAGCTTGGTCAGATCGCAAGCGAGGTTGACAGGAATCCTCTCTGAAACAGCAGCATCTCTTACCAGACCAGCTGGTGACCTCTGTTTGATTCTACAGCTGCAGGAGGTACTGACAGTTGCTAGGGAGGAAAGCCATCAACTGAACATTTCCAGAGGCCGGTGCAACGAGCCCAAGCTGCAGCTACAGTCCGAGAGGAACTCAGTGTCTCCAGCAGCTACAGCAGCCTGGGGTGGTCACCACGCAGCACTTTACCACTGTACCTGTAGGGCAAGGGTTTCAGAAGTCGCAAGCGACAGCACCTCAGCTGCAGTGTGGCCATCCTCCTAACTCTTCCTGCCAATGCCATTTGCACATGATCCCCATTTTGTTTCCAATGTAGCTGTATTACAGCATTAACCCCCTGGTAGGGCAGGTGCTGGCACTCACCAATTCCTGGCCCTCCTGCTCTGCTGGGCAGCCTCAAGCAAGCTCTAAGCTCCATCAGCGCTTCTGGTTGGGCAAAACCACAACATCAAAGCTGCAACATTCRCATTGGGTGAACTCCAAAAAAACCCCACTTTTTCAGCAACTGCCTGGCCGTGGTCACCACATAAAACACCCCACGCTCACAGATGTAGCAGCAGGACTGGGAATTTGGGATCCCTGAAACACTGAATCACCTTCCAGTACATAACAGGATTGTAGGAGTGGGCTTCACTGCTACTCTCATAGGATTCCAAGATCYTTCTGTAACTTACGCCACAGGAACACTATTTTCAGGTATTACTCTCTGCCTTCTAGATATAATGCAATCAAATGGCAAAGGACCCAGGGGAAAGAATCTACATAAAATTCTGCTGCTGGAGGAAGTCTTCAGGAATCACTCCGTGGGGAGAGACCACTAGCACTAACTGAGCTGCAAAGGGAAGGTCCAGTGCAGGCACCAGGTATGTGGGCAGCTCTCCAGAAGTTATCACTCTACAATCCTAGTTTTGCCAAGGCTGTTTGTGAGTACTGAGCAAAATAGAATGGACTTCATTATAATTAAGACAGGACACAATTTCGCATTGTTTACAGGAAAAAAGTGAAGAGAGGAACTTCTTTTACAGCCTGAATTTCACTCCAGGTTTGGATGAGCCCCACTATCCAACTAATACATTTATATATATATTCTTTTACATCCTTTTACAATCCTTGTACAATCCTTTACATCCTTGTACAATCTCCTTCCTCAAAATCCTCAACACCCTCCCCACCAAAACCCATCCTCTGAGGTTTGGATCCTTTCCCAAGTTCACTTTACCTAAACAAACTTCAGTGGTTCTCACTGGTTATTTCACCCACTCTGTCAACAGCTTCTTCAGTTCAAAACCCCAGCTACCCTCTTCCCACTCTGGCATAATACAGGGATAAGGATGATCTATGGAAATTATTCATCTGCATCATAAAGAACTTGAAGGAGCTGTAGAAGAGATTGATCCCTGACAGCTGCACTAAACTTGAAAGCCCCTTCCTGGCTCTGAAGAAGTTCTGACCTGAAAAGGGGTCTTGAGCAAGCAGCCACAAAGGGAATAAAATATCAGCCTGTAAAACCAGCACTCACTAGAAAACTCAGGTGATCTTTTAATGTAGGTAGGCCTCTTGCCTCAGGCACAAAGTAATTATTTGCACACAGTATTTCAAGCTCACAGGCTAATGGAACAGGCCTTACCTCGCTCCCTTTTGTGCCAAGGGCTGACCAACCCTCCAGAAATTAACCCTCAGTACTTTTACTCCGGCTACCAATTCCTGCCAGCCCATGGTACCATTTATCATCATAACCAACACATATTGCAATGCCATTAATTTTTTTATACTGATGAAACTCCAGCTACTAGATCTGTGGCACTCAGAGGTCTTTTATAAGTTCTGCTGGTGGACAGAAAGGACTTGCACTACTCAGCAACACTGTTCATTACAAGGGCTATAGATTTCCAACCAGAAGGCAAATGTGTCTAGAAATTCTTGGGCAGCAAGACAAGGACATTCACAGGGAGCCCATCGGAGTGGTGAACACAGCTGAAGCATTTCCTGTTGCCAAGGCTTGTGCTGGCGGAGGGAGGTTACCAAGGCAGGACAACAGCTGGCTCTGTCATGCAAATGATGCTGAGCGTCTGGAGGGACTTCCCAGCAACAGAACACCACAGTTTGCTCCCAGTTTGATTCCGGCACTGAGAAGGAAACAAAACAGCCACATGAGCATGAAGCAGCATTGACCTAAACGAGACACAGCAGCCACCCCAGAGCTGGGGGGTTACCAAACCTGCCTTTGGTGACTTGGTCCTACTCTTCTTTATGCAGGAGCAGGACAGAAATGAGCTGTGAGTAACAAGGAACACGTGCGGTGCTTTTTAAGTACATTTTTTCTCCCCGCTTGCTGTGGCAACACTGAAAATAGTTGAGGAAAAAAAAGACTGAAAATGGTTGAGGAAATAAAGTGACATAACATGCGCTAACGATACAAGGGGCAAAATGGAAAGTTTTGTTTTTGGCTGAGGATCAGAAGACTAACTGCTTTTGTGGCAAGTCCTTTACATAAGCAGGAAAAAAAAAAATCAATTCCTTCCACTTTTCCCTCAGAAAATGAGGGAATTTGACCTGATTCACATTTTGGTGGCATTAATTGACATACAATGAGAACTGAAAACTGTAAAATGCACACCAGCAAGAATTGCAACTGCAAAGTCATTTTAGACCCTCTATTTTCCAGAAAAAAAGAGATGCACACAACCTTCACAGATGTACATTTTTTTTTTTTTGTCCTTTGTGATTGGTGTTGCTATGGTTTACCCCCCCCCTCCATCTCAGTTACAGATTTTTAATATTTCCACCATCAGTAATGAATYAACCACAGAATAACTGGGGTTTAAGTTTCATTATCTGAATAATTACTAGAAAATACCTGTACTTTATAGAACTGTTGATCAAGAAAAGTCATAAAAGGCTAGAAATGGCTTATTTGTCCCCACAAGTCAGTTATATACTACAAAATCTTTCACGATGAGCAGATATCTAGCAAAGCATCCTCCAGATGTGACTGTATCAAAGTTTTCCCTTCAGTCCCTGYGAGGGTTAATCTTTCCTCATCTTTAACAGATACCTCTCAATATGTCTCCTAAAAACAAATATAGAAATTCTGGGGCGGATCACCAGCTATTGATRTAACTGGAGGAATGAAGACTCCCTTTTACACTTACCATTCCTGGATGAACTAGAGGAGATCAATAGAAAAAAAAGTTGCATTCACACCTATGGGTGCTGCTCTAGCTGATACCCACTGACTCAAATCAACATAAGCTAACACTCATGTCACCTAAGGGGACACAAGAAAACTGGCTTGACTGGTTAGCAAAGGGGCAAAATTCCCTTAGCAGGAAATGGGACACACAGGCAGGTGTGTCAGGGAGAGCCCAGAAACTCAGAACAAGGAAGAAAGGCGCAGACAGAAGTCAAAGAAATACAGGAAGTTCTAGGACAAAACCTGSAGTAAAAAGGAGCCAGACTGGAGCTGTATCTCCTTTAGCTTATCAAAGGGGCAAGAAAATAAAGATCTAGAATGGAGCTGACAGTTTATTTAAAAGCTGCCCTCTATTAATGAGGGGGAATACTGAAATCTTTAGCTACATAAATACTAGAAATGTGTGAAATGCATTACAGCCACAATACCATTACAGTTCTTTGACAAGAGCCTGCTGATTTCCAGAGGCAACATACAGGGCACCTCTTTCCCTTTCACTGCCMTCAGGAACACTCCCACCATCTCATCCAAACTTACTGCAGGCCAAACAACTGCCCCTGGATAATTTCACTCCCCTGGCCCAATAAAGCGCARCCCAATATTTATATGGTGCTCTCTCCCCTCCTCCATTCCTGTGAGGCACAGACCATAATAACCCCGTCCCTTTCCTCTCCGCCTGGCAAGAGGAGCAGGTTTCAGCACCAGGGGACAGGAAAAGGTGCCACTCAAGCACAGCAGCAGCCCCTGCAGCAAACGAGTCCCACGCTAGTGCTGAGACAGCACTGCACGTGTTGAGTGAACTCCCTCATCAGCACAAAGCACAACAGCTGGGGAAGCTTCAGTACCTTCGTGCCTAAAAACACTGCAGCAACTGGCACCACATACTTGGAATTGTGGTCCCAGTTTTATCACCATCCRAGCTCAGCAGCTCGTACCCAGCCTCGATGCCTGATCTCTAGGTGGTGCAGGGCGCTATAGAGGACAATTTAAAAAACTCCCAAGTTTCAAAGTGCCACCTGCTGGCACTTCATTTAAACTGAGTTATTTCTCTTCGGAGCAAAGAGTAGCAAAAGCTTCAACCCACTTTTCAGTTTGTAACACCTCCAAACACAGTACTTGGGGGCAACTTGTTAATATCATGGCCTAGTTTTCTGTTTCTACATCCCAGAACACTTCATTAATAGATCACTGGAACTGCCAGGTAAAAAACCCAGCAGCACTGAAGGGAAATCACTTGCAAGGATTCCTAAGAAATGTTATGACTGCTTTAAAAGGACATGGCAATCGTCTCTATGAAACCTGTATAACGTTGCTTACGTTCCAGCTCTGCAAGGACTATCCTTCTGTTATCTTCAGGCAGAAACTGCATTTTATGGATTGCCACCTCTGAAGATCCTCCTCTGCTCTCTTAAGTTTCTAAAACTATACTGCAGCAAAAGTTGCCATGTCTAAACACATGACAAGGAAGCCTGYGAATTTATCTCAGCTCAGTTTTGAGCTACCAGCATTGTAGGCTCTGGAGGCTGTTACCATGGTTCGATCTGAAAAGACAAAAACAGAAGTATTTKAACAGTGCACAGACTGGTAACTATTTTTAAGATGGACAGACAGTAGCACTTAGTAACATTAATTTGAACTCAGTATTTTCCATTTGTGATCAAGGYGGAAGAATGCTATTTTTATGAAAATCAAAAGTTACCATTTTTTGCTGGTCAAGACCTAGCGAGGAGCTACTACGCCAAGAAAAAGTTATATCAAGTTTAACTTCCCTTCCTTTAAAAAAATTGGTGAAAACTGTGTAGCATACTAAGAAAAGATCAAGGTGTAATACTGACAATGCAGTAAGACAATCTTCATCTGCAATATGCTCCTAAAAAAATGCAAAAGCTTCTCTATATTTCACTGCAGTCACAGCCTGTTCCCTGCAGTTCTTCAGCACAAAGACAYGCTGCTATAAAGTTATTACTCTTCAGAACCTGAAGACATCTTCAGTACCTGGGGCTCTGCAATGGCCAGTATCCTTTAGCAAAACTACCTCAGTAAAGACCCAGCACCTGCAAACGACGATTCCACTGAAAGCAGCGATGCCATTGTATTTACCAGCATTTCAAAGTTCACCAATGCCATTGTATTTACCAGCATTTCAAAGTTCACCAATGCCATTGTATTTACCAGCATTTCAAAGTTCACCCAAGATAGCTTAAAAATTACACTAACAATAACTAACATCATCCTATTATGAGAAGGGCTCCTAAAGAAGAAAGCAACAGGAGCTCAAGGCCTGGAAAATTTGCCAAGCATTTCAAAGAAAGTTCCTTTTGGGATAATCAGACCTTAGAAACGGTAGAGGTAACTACTGCTCTGTCATCATCTAAGGAAACCTGACAACTTGTGAAGCACCAAAGCAGCACAGACACACACTGTGCAAGGCAGGCAGCCYGTGAGAACAGCCTGAGGTCTCCTCAAGCTTTGTGGACTCCTGTGTGAGGGGCAGATCCACATTACAATGATTYCACCCATCTCTCCATTCTCCATTTTCCAAGTTTTCAGCTTTTTCTCCTGTCATTATCCCAGCTTTTCCTCGGGACATACATATGACTAACATATTTGCAGGGGAAGATTAAGCCATTTTCCTTTCTTAAGGCTRTCACATCAAAAATCCACTTTGAGCACCCAGGCAAACAGCACAGTTGGCCCGGGACAGTAGAAATGGCCACCACCACAATCTCCTGTTATGGAGAGCAGCAGAGAAGCCGTGGCCACATTTCTCCGGTCAGAGAACTGTCAAGCTAAGTGCAGCATCCCAAACYTGGCAAATAATTTATGATGCACAGACCATTTAAAGACAACACAAACTCAGGTAACACAAGTTTATTCTTTTAATAAGTCATAGTCAGCTCTTATGCGACCAGGGCAGAAGCTGTTGATGATTCACTAGAATGAAAAAAAGAAAAAAATGGGGGGGAGGGGGAAGAGAGAAAATACATATTAGTTGCAGAGTCAGTTTTTCAGACTAGTTGCCAAAGCAATACTGCTTCCATTCACAGCTTTAACTACTTCTCTTGAGCTTAATCATGACCTCCTTCAAATTTTACATTAGTCACCTTTCTTTTTAAAATACAAGAACAGCAAAATTAGCATAACAGAATGAAATAGTATTTTCAAAAACCTGCTTAGTGACTTAGTCATTGTGACTTAGTCACTCCAGACTTAAGAGAAACTCACTCAGACACCAAAGTTCTCTAAAACTCACAAAATTTGCCTAGACTTATTTTTCCCCTCAACTATTACCAGATTTCAAAAGATCTTTAAAGTAATATAAAATATTAGGGTACCTGAACAAGTCCAGAGACTTCAGTCTGCATTGCTCTGAAAGTTACTTACCGTGTAACTGATTCACCTGGTGAGACTACTTTAAATCTGGTGTCGCTGTGATTTCAGTCAACTGTAGTTTTAGGGGGTTATCAGTTCATATCCCAAAGTATCAATTCTTTACTATTTGGTTTACCCCACTGCCTCATCATAACATCTTTACTCTCCAGATAAGAGCCCCAGCATATGACTTAGTAAAGCTCCACAAAGCAATAAAAGAAAAGACTTACTACTTCCAGTTGGGTGGAAGTACTCTCTTGGTTTTGTAGTAGCGAGCCAACCTGTGAATTCTGCTTTCAATCAGAATCAGGCGGAACTTGGCATCTTTATCCTTTAAAAGAAAGTTATGAAAGTTAARTAAAAAAGTCAAGCACTGCTTTGACTCCTGGATGATCATTCAGATGAGCTTTGGTCAAGCCCGGCACGCACAGCTAGTGCTACAAACTCCACATTCCCTTTGCCAAAGTCCCACAAGTTAAGATAATCCAGAACAATACCACAATATGTCCAAAATATGTACTTTGAGCAATGTTTTTAAGATAGAGGATTACCAAGTCAGCTCTCCTTTACCAAAAAAAGACCATCCTAATTTTATTGAAATGGGGCTATGAACAGCACCTGTACTAAAGTCTTAGCTTTGTTAGAAGAGTAGTTTGAAACTTAGTTCTTACCCCCTTTCCTACCTACAAAAATAGAAAAATATATCTATAAAATGAAGATTTCTTAAATTAAGAAGTACTCCAAAAAACTACATAGTATTAAAGTTTAGAAAGTATTTTAATTAAATGATATCAGAGCATATATATTTTATAGGAAAAGTCAGGCTTTCTCCTCACACACATTAGGGACAGCTGCATGAAGTTTACTTTTAAAATAGGATCCAACAAAAGTTTAAAAAAGCTATCTTATTATTTTACATATACAATATCTCAAATATTGTGTAATTGAATTGTATATTGAAATATTTTATAGTTTTCTGGTTAAATTACCACTCACCTTTCTGTTTCTCTCAAGATGCTTGCGAACAGCCACAGCTTTCTTGATGAGGTGATAAAGGTCCTCTGGAAGGTCTGGGGCCAGTCCCTTGGATTTAAGGATTCTCAAAATTTTGTTGCCAGTAACAAAGCGAACCTGGGCAACACCATGGGAATCCCTCAGGATCACACCTGAAAGACATTTACAGCTTAAACTAGGGAGAGAGAAAAACACTTTTATTCCACCACAGAGAACTTAACAGAAAACTGACTCATCCATCCTATTCAGGCAAGTAACATATTAAAGAACTAAAACATGCCCGCAAAACTTAAAATCTTTATTTTCCCAATTCCTAATTTTACATGTTACCTAAAAGTTAAACTTTTGTCAGACACAGTTTGCATGTGTTGCATTAGGACGTTTTATTAGGGAGCTCTTTGACTAAAATTTACAGCAAAAGGCAAACAAGACAGTCTCGCTACACAGCACTCAGAGCACCTCAAATGAAAGACTTGCTTATAGACATGGAGCACTTATACTCTGAGGACAACCATGCCAGGCAAAGAACRGCCTTCCACCCAATCATAACCACATCACAAAACTCACGAGCATATACAGCACATTCACAGACACTGAACTTTAAAGGGACCCAAGCCATCGGTAATTAGTTCATTAGGTATCTGCAGTGTCTGGGTCAGTAAGCGACTAAACCCAGCTGATATTTGAGATTTTTTTTCCCCTATGAGAAACAGGGCAACATATACTTCCCCATATACCCATATTATGGAACACTCTTATAGACAAATTCTAATATTAAACAGATGCTTCATACGTCTGAAGAACACAAGTTAATTTAAAAAAAAAAAGTTCCTTAAAAGAGAATAATACAGTGATTTGCTCCATCTTTATCAAATATGGATCTCGCAAGAATGGAATATGCTCTATTGCTCAAAGTATTCCCCACAGGAAACACGTACAATCATAAAACTAGTATTTTCTTTGCATTTTGAACCATTTGAGGAAGCAAYTGAAGCAATATAAGCATATAAGAAATATTTTACATGCTCTAGGCGTGCCTGCTACATGCTCTAGGTGTGCCTGCTTGAGCAGGAAGGTTGGACTAGATGATCTGTAGAGGTCCCTTCCAACCTTAAATATTCTGTGATTTTGCCTCTACATGGGGATTTAGAAGCCATACCAATCTGGGAGGGAGTCAAGCCTTTTTTCGCCAGCTTGTAGATCTGTTCCTTTACATCATCAGAAGTAAGCTTCAGCCACTAGAGGAAAAAACAAAACACATTAACAAAGGGTACTTAATACAGATGCACAGGCTGACTACACAAAAACCTTAAAGTGCTGGAAGCCAATACCTTATAGTGCTTGAAAAAAAACTTATCTAGAACTTCTAATGCTATAAAGACTTTTTGGGATATAGAACTTCTTTTTAGTTAGCAGTTCTGCCTGAACACAGRCCAACCCTTCAAAAATAGTCTTACAAACCAAACTATTAGCTCACCTGAAAGACTGGCTTCAAGAGTGAAATCAATTTGCAGCCCACCARAAGTGAATGCTTAGCATTACTAAAGTCAGGGTTCTGACTGAAAAACACCTTCATAACTACAGCAAGGAAAACTGTAGTTTTATTCCACAGACACACACCAAACTCAAAGGTAATGGGGAACAATTTAATCCCCAAGAATTAGTTATACAAAATAATAATCAACATACGATAATTTAAATAGCACTGATGCCTTCGAAAAATGCATGCGTGTAGGAAAAGACACCTCACCCCAGTAAGTCCAACAGGCAGCAAACAGCACTTTTTTCTTTCAGTATCTTAAGGTTAATACCAACTCGGTAACCYCCATTATGCCTCTGTATTTCAGCAGAGCGTTACAACAACAGCTTTTTTCCTCACGTTTTCTCCCCAGAGACGCTGCTAGGCCGCGCCCCGGGGCCAGGGCAGCCACTCACCGTGGGCACGCTGCGCCGGTAGGGCAAGGCGGACTGGGACAAGCCCTTTCTGTGGGGAAGGAGAGCACAAAGAGCGCGTGAGCGGGGCCCGCCACGCCGCCCCCTTCCCGAAGCGCCGCGTCCGGGCCTCTCCCGCCCGCCGCCCTCCCCTCAGCGCCGCGCCCCGCCGCCGCGCCCCCGCAGAGGCGCCGCGGAGCCCGCAGAGGCGGCGGCGGCGGCGCGGGACGGCGGCAGCGGCGCTCACCCGGGTGCGTGCATGCGGCCCATGATGGCGGCGGCGAAGAGGGAGAGCGCGGAGAGGCGGCACCTTCTTCCCTCGCGCTTCCGCCGGAAAAGGGCGCCGCGGCGCCAGGCCCCGCCCCGCGCCGCGGCCAATCAGCAGCGTCGCCCGGCGGCCACGGGTACGGGAAGGACGCACGCATGCGCGGCCGTTGACGAGGCCGCGCGGGCAGCCGTTGGCCCCGCCCCCTGCCAGGCGGGAGGGAGAAGCCCGCGGCGACCGTTACCCCCCCCCCCCCCGCCCCGCCCAAGGAAGGCGCAGCACGGCTGATGTGTAATGGCAGGATAGTGTTTAATGTACGTACAGGAGAGTTACCGAGTCACATTTACAGCACGGGGGCGCTACTGTACATGGTTAGGAGCCAGCCCCCTCCTTAGAGTATTTGGTTCTTACAGACACACAGAGCGAGGCAGGCGGCGGTGCCACCAACGGTCACCGTGTCCAGAACGTGCCCGCGCCTCGTGCACACACTGGGAAACGGGAAAACCGGCCCCTGGGCGGGCCGCAGAGAGCAGTCCCTTTAAGGCAAGATCTGGGATTTCTACACAACCTTAGGTTTTTAAAAAACAGAGAAAAGAACTTGTATCAAAGATCATACGTGCTTCCAGAGACGGCTACCTGTAGCTCGTAAAAAGGCAGTAAGAAAAAATTCAGTGCAAAGTTCTAGGTTAAGTTTAATAAAGAAAAAGAGCGAGTCTTGGAGCAAGCAGTTACTCTCAAAACCAAAACCGAGGCTGCAGAGACAACTCTATCTCTGGCGGCAGGTCAGATGTGAACAAGTGAATGCGGCCCATAAAACAAGTGAACTAAACACGGTATAAAAAGCTGTTAAGCTACATTTTCAAACAAATTCACATACTGGCAGCTCCCAGCCCAGAGTGGCATATTCCTCTTTCCCATCGCTTTTGTTTGGATGCAGTACACTAAAAGCTTATCGCAATGCAATCAGTTCTCACAGATGGAGYGCAGCGCCAAGGCCGGATCCCAAGCACAAAATTAAAACTGTGTCTACAAAAAGCTTTAGCCAGTAAATATTTTTGCAAAAGGAAGGGGAAGGCACAAAATGAGAAGACTGTTAAATCAGAAGTCAGGACAAGTGCTAACAATAATACAGTACTATAAATTTTCTTACCAGAGTCCAGACAACTGTTAAAACTGCAAATCATTCTTTCTAAAATGATTTTAGTTTTTTTATTTTGTGCTGTAAGACACTGTGCTTTAATAGCAAACTGCAAAAAGGCAGTACATATTGCTTTAATTTTATTTCACAATGGAACGTTTCACAAAAACAGTAGTCTACTTTCCTGTGTTTAAGTGACTTGCGATTCTGATGATGGAATGGAGTAAGTCTCAAAAGCATCAAGTGAGCAGGAAATATATCTAGTTAGTTGTAGTTTATATTATTTACATGCTATATACTAAATGAAAACTATGCAGAAGATAGCTCATAGAACTGGGATTTTGTATTTTATTAGTGCCCATTAGTAGCAACCCACTTTTTAACATTTGAGATATTTTTAGCATTTTAATTATACCTTTACCTAAGAAATTGGACCATGGATATTTTAGGCACCAAGAGATTCAAGTTTACTTCTCTCTTCTGTACTGAAGGGAGAATTGTCAGTAGCAGGGGAAGGAAACTGGATTATGAGAAATCTTTTTAGTGTTGGGCAAAAAGACCTGCCTGTACTGTTGCATTGTTCATCATTCCCCATTTTAAATTTGATTCCACTGGTAGTGCCAAGTCTGCCACCCATTTCTCAAACCAGTATTCAGATCTACTGCTGAACACAATGTGCAATTTAACTCTCGCTTTGTCTAGACAGATTACGCCCATATTAAAAAATGAGTACGGTGAATAATAAGGCTATTCTGTAGTGCAGAAATACCCACTTAATTAACCAGTGGTATTAATGGAAAAGAGTAGTTAACATTCATACATTGTCACAATGCATTTCAAATATAATGGTGTTTGACTGAGGAACAGTGTTACCTCAACCACAGAAAAAGAAGTGACCAAGTTCCTCTCCCAAGGCTCTTTAATACAACTCACCTGCAGCTTACTCAGCAGTTACACTTTATTTTCCTTTTTCTTTTTCTTTTTCTTTTTTTTTTTAAACTGGAGGCCATCAGTGACCTGGAAGGTACACATAAGTAGCCTAGGTGCGATACCACTTTTAATTTTGTGCTTGAATTAGTTCTGTATTTACTCACTGCACTATTTGAATTGTAAAAATTTAAAAACAAAGTTTCAAAACTTTGAAAAGAAAAAAGGTAGCACACATTCAGCCAGTCTTCATTCACTTTGTAGAACAGATCATGGGTAGAAGGGCAGAAGGAATTCACATGTTACACTAATTATGAAGATCAGTTGAAATGATGTTATTTGGAAATAACAAATTTTCTCTGGAAAAGATTTCCAGTAGGACTTGCACCTTATTGAATGTGAAAATACTTCCCCTTTTTAAGGGGATAAGAGTTAGCATATACATATTTAAATACTAGAAATGAGGTACAAGAGAAGCATTTCAGTTATAAGGCACCATTATTTACAACTCCATTATTGGCACTCACTCCAGTAACTCCTAGAGAAGCATGAATCTGGGATCAGATGCAATGCCACGGAACTTTTCCAGCCCTTCAACRTTCATTTCCACAGGTGTGAAACTAACATTATTTTACCCATTGATGCTTCTGTGATGCCTGGTTAATAATGGGAATGTAATCCTGAAAAATATTCATTCTCTTTGATTTTCTCCAGCATCATGCCATATATGACATAATACAGGGGACAAAAAAAAATACATAAACCCAAAATCCACTACATCCACAGGCCTAAGTTTTTGATTAAGTTGTGGTGGTTTAACCAACAASGTCAGACTGTTAATTTGAGTCTTTCATATATAGTTTAGAAGCCCTTCTTTTACCCGCAACTACTAAGAAMCATTTACATTAATGCTTTGATAACACTGCATGAGAGTAAGCCAGTAATGATTTTCTAGAAATCCTCAAGATTAGGCTACATGAACGTTGGTCCAACATACCTGTTGAAATGCAGTCTCTCTTATTTTACAATGTACAAGTTACTTTCAAGTAAAAAGATGCAAAAAGCACAGGTGAATACAATTGGTCTGCTCTTACTCAGCTGTAGCAATGAGCTCACAGATAAGGTACAGCAGTTAGTTGATACCAATTAACTGTCTCCTTGCTTAAGTTGAAGTCCTTTAGTGAGAGTGTAATTCCACCCAAGAAAAAGTTCTCACGTAGCGACTCTGCGCTGAGGACACTTAACTGAAGCTCTCTCTGTTTCAGKGTCTCCATGCTGTATCCACTGTACACAAGCTAGAAGATAAAAAGTTAAGAACTTTTTTTTTAGTTATCCAAGTAAAGTTGCACCCACCGAGTTCCTCTTCTGACTGCCCCAATGACAAATTTAAGCACTGCTTATTAGCTGCATGCCAAACATTTAAAAAGGATGTTTTTTAGTCGGGAAGTACTGTTCACACAAGACTTTTAAATTTATTCTTCTCCCCATTAATTCAGAGCAACTGGAATATAAAGTCATTTACACTGGCCAATTTATGAGTAGAGGGAAGGAGCTGGGTGGACTGTGGAATTAAAAACAAAATTCAAAATATTAATCTTAATACGAGGTTATTCAGACTATAGRGAGTTGTTGCATATTAAATTTTGACTTGCCATTTCATTGAAAGTTGGATTTCTTGTCTTTCGAGAGATTTTGGTTTTGCGTTTAGATGTTTTGTGTGTATCTGGAAGTAAGTATGTTTTTACATAGGGATTTGGATCAGCACCATCTTCTGTAACCTGCAACAACAATAACAAAAAAGACAATTTAGAAAACTAATTAGTACATATCCATTTGAAATCTTTTTCAATTCTTACTTATTACCATAGAACTAAACAAAATCACCCACTGAAAAAAAAAATTTGGAGGGAGACGGGCATTTTCATTATTACTGAATCAATCTACATAAAGGTCACTCATRAAACAGAAGAGCTTTTGGCACCAAGCTCAGTATCTCAACTCACCAGATCTTTGATGTGCATAACCATGATAAACAGAGTGCTGTTTCTATATGATATTGATAGCTTCACTTCTCCTCCCACTTTGCCTGAGGTAGGACTTGATGGAATTGCATCTGAAAAGCAAATAAATAAATAGTAAAAAAGCAACCCATAATTATTTCCGCACAAAATTTGCATTTTACAAGTCTTACCAATTGTTAATTACATGGGGGGAGGGGCGGGGGGGGGAAAGGACAAGCTTTAGATCAAATTTGTTTCTGATTTTCCTTCTAACTCATCCTCCTCTTCAAAGAAAAGAAAATGCATTCTAAGAACCAAGTATGAGGTTTTAAGTAAAAGCCTTAGGTTTTTTTATAGCTTGAAAAATTAAAGTGAGCATAAAGAGGGTCCTGGAGGGAAGAGGCAAAGGGATCCTAAGAAAGCTGGTTACTGTTCCCAGGGTCACCTCCTCCAAGCTCAAGAACAGTCCATTGCACTGTTCAGAAAGCCAAACAGAAATGGTAGGAGACCTGCATGAAAAAARCAAGAAGCTCCTGACAAATATCAGATATAAAAAAGTAGTATATGGAAGATGGAGAGAGCGACTAGTAAAATGAGAAGAGTATAGAGATGTTGGCCAAGTATGCAGAGGATAAGACTAGGGAGGCCAAAACCCCACTGGAAGCTCAATCTGGCCATGTTTTCATCTCCTTCCAGCTGTACACAGACAGATATTTAAGGAAAAAAACACAGGTGCAAAGTGCTAAGATTTAACTCACTGTAGCCTTTGCTCACTGCAAGTTTTTGCTGTTGTTTTGGTTTTTTTTTTTTTTGCAAAAATCACACTACAAAGGGCTTATACAGCAGTCATCCTTTTACAGATACCACCCCCTGAAAGTGTTACCTACCTGCAGGTCTGGCTATTCCATCTATTCCTTCCACTTTGTCATCACGAAGTAAAGGATGGAAAAAAGTATAAACCAGATCACACTAAATTTGGAAGAAAGATTACACGTTAGTTTGAGTGTTAAGAAGCACTAACATTTGAATGCTTTCATTGGATTTGCTTATTCAAACTCACTTCTGCCACCTCTGAAGAACTGTTCATCAGACTCTGTATATAGCTGTTGAGCTCCACTTTTCTTTTAGCTGCTACATCTTTTATATGGGTTCTTCCCAGGACCATCTTATTAGGAAAGCTACGAGCAAAGAATAAGATTTAATTTTCAGGTCATTTCGCAGAAGTACATTTAGGTTTCATTGCAATTTCTATCCAGAAGTGCTGAACTCTTATTTCTGTTGTCCATCACAGGCAGGGCTACAGAGCATATTAGCTACATTGCTAACATGCAATATCATTACAGCAAAGTGAAGAAACATTTACAGAAGGTATCTTTTTCCTTTTGTATCTTAATTGCTAACTTTCAGGACCAGTTAGGTCCTCAGCACTGTTATCTCCCCCTTGTATCACAGGACTTCTTTTCTTCACCCATCTGGTATCACAGCTGCTACTTTCACTAAAATATTTATTACCAAGTTAAGAACATACCCCGGTAACTTCCAGAGAGGAAAGAGAATACCAAGCTTGTTGTGGAGCTCCTGGAACTCATCAAATGTCCGGAAGACAAACGCTGGTTCAACCTGTCCTTCTCTCAGAACTCTCACTACATAGATCTGCCCAAAACACAGAATAGTAGCAATATTATAGGAAATAATTCAACTTTTCTTGAAAGTTAACTCTTCTTTACTACTCTTATCTTCTCTTCTATATATTTCACAATAGGAATACTTGCATTTTTTTAATAAAATTACCAACAATCTTACTCTGGTACAAAGTAACCATGATTTTCCTATAATGCAGATCCACATGTGGCAACAGGATAAAGTGGTTAAAGCTAAACTGTCAGTACTGTCCCTTTGAAGCTTGAGTAGAATTTCATACTTTTTCTCAGGGGCACAATATTCTCATACACTGGTGCGGGATGACATCCASACATATATCTCTGTGGCCAGAACTCCCACGAAACTTTCTGGATCCTGACTGCGGCATAAACTAATTTCCTCAGTCTGATTCTCTCAAGATTCTGAAGGTTTCCAGTTTTTAAAAGTGGTAATTTGATGTACAGACACAGGTGTACTGCATTATGTGAAAACTAATTTGAGAAAAGACTGGGAATACATTTCCCATTATACAGTCATCTACATTACTATGAAAGGAAAAAAGAAAATTGAGAGACTGTATATATAAAATTATGTTCAATGGACTCATAAGTACACATTTAATTCATATACCCAGAAGAAGTGTGCAACTAGGAAGAGGCTTAAGACCTGGACAACAGACTCTAGAAAACTTCAGCTCATCCTAAAGCTGACATCAGTGCTTAATATCTATGATTGTATTTATTAAATCTCTGACAATAAAGGGGACCTAGATACACTCCTCACAGGTACCTAACTTAAGCCTAAGCAAAGCGAGTCCTGGTCTGGACTAGTTCTCTCACAGCAAGGAACAAGTCTTCTTGGAAGAAAATGCACAGTACTTTTGCTGAATGGAAACAGGTAGCACGCACTTACATAATGTTTTTCTGGATTATACCTCTTCTGATAGGTAAATACAGATACTTGTTTGATTCGTCCATCTTGTTTGAGAGAGTATGTTTTAGCAGAGAATGAGAGGATGGGCTCATCATTAGAAGGCAGACCTGAGAAACGCAGCTGAGCCAAGTTGTGAATGAAGAAATTAAACTTCGTGGCAACACTTCCCAGACTGGATTCAATCAACCTACAAAAGGAGTAACAAAAAGCAATCATTTCAAGTACTAGAGCACATGTTAGTACACATAACTATTTTGTCAGTCCATCTTCTTTCAGGTCTTTAAGAAAAATAAAAAGCAAGTCCTTAGCAATGGAGAAACACTGATTATTTAACTAAAACTTATCAAAAGGCTATAGTAGTAGTATTCTACCATCATTTAACAGGAGATTCAGTACTGAAAGTTTAGAGTAAGTTTTTGTCTAAATGACAGCTTTATAAAATAAGTTAAAAAGTTTATGGATACTCATGCAGTTTCATTTATCACACAAGTAAAATAGCACATTTTGTAACATACAGCAACAACCCAGTTAGACTATATACATGCATTCAATATTTGACTGTCTCCCTTTTCCTTCCAATATGCAAACTGCAGCATGCAAAACTCTTGTGAAAGAACACTTCTTTACATTGCATATATTACAGAGATCTCATCATATACACCACTACCTAGACMTTTAAGATGCTTTCAAAATGAAAGTCTCAAGCAGCAGGATAATCTACTTTCAGAATTTCAAACAATTCAGCACGAGACAGCTCTTCAAGGCAGCTATGTATTTTAGCACAAACACTTTTCTTATTTGAAACTGATGTTACTTAGTTCACTGCATAATCATAAAATATTCATCYGTTTTCCAATGCAACTCTTCAGCCTCCACAGATGTGTTTGTGAATATCTCTAGTACCTCCAGCATTTTCCTGCAGGAAAGAATTCCCAATAGAAGGACAATGCAGTTGGATATTTTAGTGCTGTTTCACTTATCTAGTACCTTGTAAAGAAAATTGTAGCTTCTGCATCTGTTGTTTGAGGCTGGAGAGCATCCTGGACATACTTCAAGTCCTGAACTCCACTTAGCTCTGGTAACCCTGAAGAAAGCATCTACAGGAAACAGAAATTTCAACTTAAATGGTACCAGTATCATTTCACTTGTAAATAATTAAAATACTTATGTCAAACTGATTTGAGATCCAACTAAACTGCTGAACAATCACAATTATAGTCAGCAGTAGTTACTATCATCACCATTTCTGTCAAGTTAGTTAAAAGCAGCTAACGAAACAGTTTTTGTAGTGTAAATTGTGCTATCTTCTTGATCATCTTTTTGGTAAGAGCTACATAGCAGCTAGAATTTTAGAAGATCTAAAGATAATTTTCCTCCAAAGTTCATTTAATATTCTGGCTTTTAATAACATGCATTAAAAGCTTCTGCAGCATAAAAAAACATACAATTAATTCAAGTCTGTATCATAGATTTATCAACTTTCAAATGAATTTAATAATTACCAGTGAAAGCAGGTTCAGGAAGAGGTTTGCATGTTTTCTTATTAAGTTGTATGCTTGACAACAGAGATCCACAAACAGCTGAAAGCGAATGGTGGGTTTTTCACCCCCATTAATGACATAAGCCATATCTGATGTTAGCACAAAAGGTGCACGATCCCTGTTTAAAAACAAAGCATTTCTATGTTAATTATACTGGCCATCCACATCCTGTCATTCAGACTCCCTAAAGTACCCAAAACATTTGCATGATACTCAACCTACAGGAGATGCAGAACAACACTTGGAGGCCAAGTTACCCCAGAATGCCTTAGAAATGATGCATCTACATTTAGGTAAATAAATCCCATACCTCATCTCCAGGAACACCGGCACCTTAAAACATAWGTAATGAATATACTAAATATGCATGTACTTATAACAAATATAATGAGTACCTGGCTAAAACACAGTTTCTGTACCCAGGATATAGATCATCTTTCCCTACTCAGAGAGGGGAAGAAATACAAACTTATTGCTTATTCATTTCTGTAGTATTGCCATTCGCTATTGTGTTATGATCCAATTTCCATTTATTTCTAATACATGCAGATGATGTAACAATTTTGGCACTCAGTTTCTCATGCACTGATAAACTTACATAACTAGCATCAAATGCATAATTACATGAACTTAACTACAGAAAATACCTTTTAAAGCTACCAAACATTTGTGCATGACCCAAAAATTTCCCAAAGTCAATGTGAAACATATGTCCTGTGTTTCGCAGCATTATGTTGTCATTGTGGCGGTCACAAATTCCCAGCACATAAGTAGCTACACAGCATCCTGCACAGGAATAAATGAAGTTCTCGGAAGCCTGGAGGGGAAGGGGAAAAAAAAAAAAAAAAAAAAAAAAGAGTGAATTGAGACTATACATCACAGGAAAACACTCATGCATTCATTGTTCAATTCTGGCAATAGTACAACTCAAGCCAGACAGGACATCTTCTAAAATTGTCAGTTTGCAGACGATGGCATTTGTAAAGAGTCTACTTCGCAAAACTTTGTTTTGCTTTTAAAGGTAAAAGAGAAAACAGGAGATGAAGACAAATTTTAAGAGACAGAAGAAATAAGCAAGCAGAGAAAACACCATAGGCTATTTTCCCAGTGTGTTCTGGTCAAAACAAAGTATTTTACTCCTAGCACTGAATGTACAAGCATTGAAGGGAGCYATTGCTCTGAAACCCTAGAAAGGAGCAAAAGCCATTCCTCCCTGTATGAAATTCAAAGCATTTTTTCTATATCTAATCTAAGCTTTAGAAACTAAACTTGAAAATTAATCTTTCACACTGTTTTGTAGTTGTACGAAGATTTTTGATTTACCCTTTCTGAAATGCTGGAACAGAAAATGCATATTTCCTAAAGATTTAAGAACTGAAGTGTGAATGTCACTCTTTCATAAAGTGATATTTATCAATTTTAAGGGCTCTTCAACAAGAATGAAAAAAAAAAGTTACCTTTTCATACTCCTCCTCTGTAGGATTATATTTTCGCAACCATTCTGCCAGAGGTTTGTCTTTAAAAGAACCTGTCACTCCATACTCCACTTGAATTTTCCTAAGCGTATCTGAAGCAGGAACAAGCTCCACCATGCCTTGATGAAAAATATAATAAGGTGTATTTACTATCTTTTTCACTTCAAATGTTATTTTATACTTTATTTTCACCACATGATTAAAATTTTCTTGACAGTAATAGACTTCCTAACTTAAATTTGAATTCTTTCAAAASCCAGATAAAAACACTTCTATGAGTGTACTAGGCATTCCAGACTATTTCACCAAGTGGGATGTGAAACACAATAGGAACAAATCCAGCTTACACTGCTGCAGTTGGTTGCACTTGCTAGAAYGCTTATATAAAAGCATACTTGGACTCAAAGCTCTATATAAATGTTTTGGATATAATAAACAGCAAAAAAATATTGTGATACCTGTATTTTTCATGCATGAAAAATTTAAGTAATCTAGTCACTTTAACCGTTTCAAGGCTGTAAGGTGAAAGAGATGTGCTGCCCTAAAAATAAGGCAAAGGAGGCTTCTCATGCAGCATCATGTGGTAGAGACCAACTAAAAGCATTTGTATAGATCATCCAAAAAATAGAAATAATTTTATTAACAAATTTTTACTTCCATCCTGTAAGAGTTATTATAGGCAGGGCTATAATTATGTTTTTTTCCTATTTTTCCTCTTTAATCCTTCAAATATTTRCAGCAGCAGCAAAGTAACATGCTATGTAATCAAATCACAGTCCATAATAAGAAAAAAAAGTCATTTTTTCCTCTTAAAATCCTAAGTTTCACATAAATTTGCTCTTTTCTGTTATTATTGCCAACTTAAATATGTGGGGAAAGTTGTAAACAATGTTTTCATCATGCTGTTCCAGGGCTTGTAGAAATAAATACTGAAGTTTTTGTATATCCTTTAATATGAAAGTTCTAAAATCATTTCAGATACAGAATAGTTTAAAATGACTTTCATTCTTAGTACTATTATGGATTTAAAGATGATATTTACATCATCTCAAGTCTATATTCATTTCTGTGTTTTTTTTCCTGTTGCCTATCTTCTGGAAGTAATAATTTCTTAATAATTTTGGACTTTTTCTTTTTTTGCACRTTTCAGCAGATAAATCTTTCTAATTCAAATGTTGCACATTCAAAGTACTTCAAAAAATCAGCGTTGACTTGAATACTTTCAAAAAGCTACTTGTCATGRAAGATTCAGGACTGCTATGGCACAACTATTTTCTTGTGTTGCAGTAAGGACACCAGTAGGGAAATCTGGCTTTTATCATTACACAAAGAACCACTGTTCTTTGACAGCAGACTTTATAAGAATCTCAGAATTCAAGCACACAAATGCACATATAAATGGAATTCAGTTCTTGGGAAATTCAGGATAATTCAATTTTGCTATGCTTTTGAGAAATAAAATTCCTTGTATGCAAGATATTTGGCCTTCCCTTGTTTCCTGGCCCTGCCTCTAAGCAAAAATCAGCAGGGTTTTACTATGAAGAGTAACAAAACGCAAAGAAATTGAGATGGGGAGCATCAGAGTTAACAGGTGGCATCTGGCTTTGCACCTCGATCTTTTCCAGTTGAGAGGCACTTGAATATAACCATCCGTAGATCCAGCCCCTCCTGCAGCCAGATCTTATCCATAATCTTAATCATCTGCAAAGCCAGCATATCTTGTCGCAGATCTTCTCCAACCTCAAGAGAAAAAAGAAAAAAGATTAGAGGATGTCGTATAACTTCCACAAAACTGATGCTGGCAGATTTTAACTGCTTTTTTATAGTAAGTGTTACATTATACTGCTTATTTCCTCACAGCTATGCACCTGAAGGGGTAACTGACAGAGTGCAATTAAGGTTTCACATGCACTTGACTTATTTTTCAGATTTTATAATGCGTTTGCACAGTGGTTAACTTCTGAAATTTTACTATTTAAAGTCATCTTAAGCTAACAATGACTCCTCCTTATTTTTGTTGTTGAGTTTAATTCTTGTGTCTTACCACTGAGAAGAACTAAGGAAATGGCTATTTGAGGGGAAACTGTACTTGTCCTTAACAGAGGCTATTAATTTCTAGTACTAGCAATTATCCTATGCAACTTTGAAAAGATGACACAGTTAACACTTATGTACGTATCACCTGGAAAAATACATWATTTCCTGCCTAATAAGGAAGTCACGGGCGTATATTCAAGATTCTCAAGTTTTTGTTTACATAGATTCAAGTCAGTGCTACAGTGAAAGCTCCCAGTCCCTTATAAAAAAATTATTCAATGAAAACTAACTCTTTTCAGCCATTTATTCTTTTTGCAACTGTTTATCTGTTAAGATAGTTCTAGATATAGAGCACCAAACACTATTTCATTCGTATCATCTATCATTCAACGATTTTTCTCTAATAAACACAAGCAGCCTACCTTAAACATCACATTAATTTCTTCTCCCAGGGGGTCTGCATTTATCAGTGCAACCTTCAGTGGTACTGCATTAGAGCTGAAGAAGGAACATGCCTAAAAGCAGAACTCATATTAATTCATTTTTTAAAAAACAACAACAAAACACTATTTCCATTGGCACATAAGGCAGGACAATCACTGCGCATACTCAGGCTTCTTGAACTTGTGATTGTGGTGAGCACATGTTTTGAATAAGAGTGGGTTGGCTGATATTAATCCTTGTACAAAATACAGTACTATAACATGGTGAATTTTTGAAATAAAGAGTGAGCAAAAAGCGATAGCTATTTTTCCAGCAACTATTTAACATCTAAAAGAGACTATGGGAGGGCAGGGAGGAAAAGAGGTTTCGCTGTTTTCTTACTTATCTGCTTTCAAGTATGTACATGTAACTTAATATTTATTGTAAAGAAGGAAAGTAAAAGGAACCACATCACTTGATAGGACTAAATCCAGTGTGAAAAGAGTTTAAGCTCTTAATCAGGCATGACAGTATGATCAAGCCTRTAGATGAGCAAATACTACAAAAACTTGCAAAATTATAGAAAAAAAGGATGTACCTTCTTCTCTTACATTATCACTTGCTGGATGTACATAGCAAAATAAAGCTATTGTTTGTAACAGCACCTCCGCTGATTTTTCCAGACTAAAACTTTTGCCCATGTATAACTGAAAAATAATTTAAAAGATTTCAGAAACACTGGACACACCATACCTTAATATTTAGCTCTTTTGCCACAAGGCTAGGATTGAGAGGCAAACGGCACTTGTTCTTCAAGAAAAAGGACTGCACACATTCCATGCCATTCTGCAAGACAGCCTGCAGGCAAATAAATAAATAAAAAGCCCATTATTATTTTCCCAACTGAAGTGTATAGAAAAATCCATGGACAAAGTTATTATGAAGCATTGTAAAACCAAGACCTAAGTTCTCAGTTATCAACAGGATGCCCAAAAGATCTATATTTTTACTGCTGTCTTAACTATTCAAAATACACAAACCTAGAAATACAGAACTAATATCACATAAASTGCTTTTCAATTTGTTAAAAATACATAACACTTTCACAGATCTTCCCACATTTCATACAGCATTCTAAAGATTTGATTTACTGGATTGCTTTCAGGGTGTACTCAGTCTAATCTTCTTAAAGTATATTAAAAACTTAATGAACACACCTGTCTGGTAGATCCACTTGCTTGCTTTACTTTTTCTGCTACCATTCCAAAAAGCTGTACCAGTCTGGTTTGCTTCTCCAGCTCCTCTCTTAAGCCTTTTCCACAGACTGAAAGGAAAGCTCCAAGAATGTGCTCATACCTTACACCAAACTTGACATCATGTAGTGTATCCTTAAGAAGCCTGAAATAAAAGRCGCAAATTACTTTTCCCTAAACAAAATATTGTAAACAATGTAATAATAGTACTAAAATACTTAAAATAACCTTTACTACAAACATCTCAAGCTACTGATTTACATGACGTAAGGATTTAAGGTTTTGTTTTGTAAAGGCACCATCTTCTTCTTCATGAAAAAGAGCATTTCTATTTTGCTTACTATCAATTTTGTGCAACATTCATTATTATAAACTGTGACATTAGGGTAGAATATTTATTCTGGAAATATTAACACGATAGTAAATAAATTACAAGAATAACTGAACAGAGAACATCCTACCAATACAGGTAGTGAGCTATTCGAATGCTTCCCAAAGCCCGAGCCAAAATGAATCTGACAAGAGCACTGTCCAGGTAGGTTTCATACTTCATTGCCTAAACATAAAGAAAATGCACTCAGTTTAGTTCTAGAAAAAGACTAAGATTTTTGACTAGTGCATCACAAATACAAAACACAGGCTGCTTGTTTTTTTCTTTTCCTCCATATCTAAGTTATTAATGTGGTAACATTTCTGTTACCTATAGTCAGCAATTCCTTTGTTTTCAGGAGCAAGAATTTGAAACTTTTGTGTGAGCATGAAGTCTTACTTGGACAAAYTGAGGAAGGAAGTCTGTTAATTCATCATCGCTTAATGCCTCTATCCAATTCACAGCTGTAGTTCGCACTTCTTGATCAGCAAACCTAGAAAGCCACCACAAATACACATCAAGTTTATATTGTTTGAACAGTATTTCCACTCTCCTTTCTTTTTTCCCCCAAACCAGTTAATCATAAAAGAACCAATATAAAATCTGTGACAGTTGAAGAAAAGACTTCAACGTGCCAGGCCATTCAAAGGCATTACCTAACAGGCAAACATACATGTGTCCATTTATGACAAGCATACTAATTCTGCCAGACTTGAGTCTCAGTATCTTTACTGTACAACTTATTCTCTGGCTCTATGCTAGAATTCAGAGTTCTAACCTCACATCACTGCGTAGTTTGGTTAAGCTAACAAGCTTAGAGTTAGTACATGTCCTTTAAACACTGCTATCCATGCAGTCATCCACTGAACAAAAATCATTTAATGCACAGCACATGTATAGAACTTAAGTATTTTTCTTTCTTACTTTGAATCAAGTAGTTCCAGTGCAGCTAAGGGTGATAAAGGAGGCCACTGGTGCAGTACTGAATATATTTCAGGAAGACTTGCCCAGTCCCAGTGAGGGGCACTAGCCAGTATTTTTGGTAGGCTGCTAGTATGACTATGACAATAATGTCTCTTTTCCCACAAAAATTGTTTATCTTCTTTTGATAGCCTGCAGRAAAAAAGCATTTTGGTTTACAAAACAAATTGCACAGCATCACCTGAAAAAATCCCAATCACAACACACATACAAATCACTTCATACTCAAGTAAAATGAAACTTAATCTGCTTTTACTTCCATAAAAGAACAGAACTCGGATAAAATATGAAGTTCAAGCAAAACAGATGCTCAAAGTTATATTAAAACCTATTCCTATCCTTCCCACATTATAACCTGAAAGAAAGCTAAATGTTAATGTTTGTTTGATGACAACGCCTGGTAAAGCCTGCCCAGAGTGTTTCTGTGACACATGAAAGGCCACTGCTGCAACTGCCACTGCTGCCTGCATCTGAAGGAACACCAGGCACGGAGAGGCAGCGATAACCAGGGCTAGCAGGGCAGCAGTCTTGCAACTGGAGAACACCAGGATACAGACCACAGAGAGCACAAGTGAACTTGTTAAGTCAGCACCACTGTTTTACAGGTTTTATTCCGTCTTTTGTTTATACTTCCACAGAACTTCAAATATACTAAAAGTGTAGTACAGAAGCAATAAATAAAGAACATGATGAGTATTCTATACCCCATCCACAAAGCCTCACACACAAGGAGATGAACATACCCAATGGTGTTATCTTTAGAGAGAATGGTAAGCAGATGTTCTCTCAATGGTTTTTCCAACGTTTCTATGGAATGMCCCACAGCAGTCTTTACAGATTGAGGAATCTGATACACAATATCAAAAGCAAGGGATGGGAAGTCAACCTGGTCAGAGAATGGGAAAAAAGAGAAAGAAAAAAAAAAAGAATAAAAGTTGGAAAAACAACTAAATTTCTAAAACAAGTATAAAAGGTTCCCCTCACAGCAAGCTGAGATGTTTAGGCACTTCCACTCCTAAGGCCTATATCCCCAAGTTTCCAAATACTGGTTGCCTATTTTTTTTCTGGTTTCAGTTCTTCTCCGTAGCAGTGCTCCTCGCATGTATGAGAACTGCACAATAGASCAGTGGTGCAGTTCAGCAATTCTTTAGAAGAAAGAAGGCTGAGACCAGAGCAGAGACTAACCACAAAACTACTAAAAAGCACCAGTGGTTTCAATCCAACTACTAATCTGGCCACATGTTGGGACCACTAAATCATGTTAAACAARGTGCCTTCTCTCAGGAAAGAAATCTGGATTTTTAGTTTAGAGTGAGAGAGACTTAGGTTCTATGTAGAAATTGAAATGGCTATTTGAGTCCTGACGACACTGGTGATCACTACTCCATCCTGGCTTTCAAATATGATTTAACAGCATTAACACTCTCACTAAAACCAATTATTGATATATTATGGCTCATGCAAGAATTAACGAGTCACAACACTGACACACAATACAGTCAAGTGAAAATAATGTTCAAGTATATCAAACCTGCAAGACTATTCTTTCCATATTTCCCCTCTTACTGGTCAGCCCCGAGGCGTGACTGGGAAGCGATGAGGTCCAGAGCTGCAGGAGCTTTGTTCCACGGGTTAAGAATCTAAAGAGAGAGAGAAAGCAGGTAGAACATATTCGTTATTCATGTCAAAATCTGTTTACTTAGAGATAATAGCTATCAAACTGGTTCCTGGAGAAGTCCAATGATCCCTACAGAGGAATAACTAAACTGTAATTAGCATGGTACAAGAAAGTATTCTGAATGGAGTATCAGTGTTTCTACCACTCAGGTAAAGAATTATGCACATGACAGATGCTCTCAGTAAAATAATACCAGATGTGTTCACTTCCCTAACATCTAAGATATTATAAGCTTTTTTATTCAGAAAAGAACATGGGAAATGCATCATCCGCTGGCCAACACAATGTTCCCAATTTAGGAAAAGGGTATCATGGCCATCAAGGCAATCAGTTTCTTTTCTTTGATTCTCTTCCATGTTTTAAAGTTTTTAAAGCATGTGAATCCTACACATAACTTTTAAGGCAAAAAGGCAAAGGAAAGTTCAATGCAGAAAGAGTTGACTCAGCTAAATAAAGTGCTCCCTAATTCTTACGGAGCTTGAGCAGGGCGGGGTGCAGGGGGCAGAAAAGCACTCTCGCATCTCAGAAATAAAACAGSACATTTGCAACTCCTTACTCTTAGGAAAAAGGGCACAGGTACAAGTATTTATTACACACCTAACTATTTACCTACACTTTGCATATTTCTAGAATCTGCAACTGCAAAATCAAATGCTGCTAGTATTTGCAAGTTTATTACCGGTTTCCAATAACTGAAATAACTGAGAATACTTTATAAATCATACAAACTGCTGTATTCATTGTGTGCAAGGCCTACCACAGACAAATCTGCCAAAAAATCAAAATACATCCTCAAAGGACTGCCTGGAGGTCAAATCTTTATTGTGTTTTCAGAGATGGCTCAGGCCCTACATTGTGGTTAATAGACCAATAAATATTACTTAGTCACACCACTGAAACACAACTGAAAAGTCTGATCTTTTTAATAGTCCTCCAGTTTGAGTTACTTGCCATGGCCTTGTCTCACTAACAAGAGCAGCTGTTTCAAGTTCCCTCTTGCCCCCATAACCATATTATCAGAAGGGCTTCCACTTTGGCTTTAAATTCTTCCAAAGCATCCGAGTGACCTTTTAATCTTCCCACAGTCTTTAGCTCCTCTGGCTATCAATGCTACATGCAAGAGCAATGGAATACCTCCCTATAATCTTTAACTACGTGGACTGTTGTGGAAGTAGACAGCAGGTAAATTAGATACCAGCATCGCTACAGCTCTCCTGTACAAGTGACTCAGCAAATTCTGGCCCAACACGTTCTACTGCAGTGCTTTGCAAGAACAGAAAAYAGAATTTACTCCCCACACTTCTAACTGCTGTAAGAATTTTGTATGGCAGGCATATAGAATAAAATTTGTAATTCACATAAAAATAAAAATTATTTTTAATCACACCCTATGAAGGGTAACTGTAGATAGAGGGCTGAAAAGTAATTTACAAACAAGTTTTTGATTCTCAAACAGCAGGGGAGCTAAAGCAGCTGCAAGCCACTCTAATACTGCTTTACAATGCAGGAAAGCCTGTACTGCTCAGTACCGCCAAGCTGCTCCCATGCAAAAGGGAAAACTGGATCAGTCCTGGCAGTTTTGGTTAGAGATGTGGTCTGGTGCAGATTATTCAAGTGCAGAACTATTTAAGTATGTCAAATAGGTCCTGCTAAAAGTGAACAGATCTCTACTACTTGTACTTGAAACTCTAAAAGAGCTTTAAACTTTAAACGGGGACCCGTGGCCCAAGGGAGTCCACTTTCCAATTCCTCCTGGTAAACTGAAGACATGTTTTCAGAAGAAAACCATCAAGGTGGTGGGAATGGAAATGAGGTAACTGTAAGCCTTTCTGCTGTTGTAATATTCTGATAGGGAACAGCTATCCAGGGACTCAATCGAAACACAATTAACTAGTAAATTCAAATCAAATAGGCATTAATAGAAAAGAGATTTATAGAAGCTACATTTTTCAAGTAACAGATTTGCACTATATGCTGTAGTCTGAAGATATTTCATCTAAGAGACTGGGTAGATTTATTATCTTATCACAGTAAATATGATAAGCAATAGTTCCTGTAAGTTTAAATGCAACTAACTATAATGAAAAGAAGAAATGATGGGTATGGATTTTACAGCAATTTTCATGGATCTGTCTGCAGATCTATGCTCTTAGATATCTTCACCAATACGTTCAGGAAGCAGATTGTGTGATGGTAAACAGAGGCTAAACACTGAATGACTTCACAATCTGGACTCAAGCAGAAAATCTCTGCCAAACAGAGCCATATGTAGAATCAAATGATGCAACCAGGCAAATCCAACATAAGCACTAAGAAGTACCTCTCCAGGAAAGCCTAGGGGCCTTGGAGGGCAGTAAGGCAACACATGCTCCCTGTAAGGCCTCAGCATCAGAAGGGCAAATAATTAGGATCTCAGGCATAAAGAGAGAAGCCATTTATTCTGCATTGGCGTGATAATTTCTGCAATATCATGCCCAACTTTGGTGTCACAGTTTAAGCATATAGGTTGAAGATTTACAGAATAGCTACAAGAGCAGTTAGCATTCTGGAATGCCAATGAAAAGAGAGGGCAATTGGAACAAGCTACAAGCTGTGGGTGCATCATATAATCCTATGTCAATTTCTCACAGACAAGCAGACATCCACCTCACTCAGTTCCATCAGATAGTTTTTCAGAAATGATAGAGAATATATCTTGAATTAAATTAAATACGAAACTGTTATAAATTGTGATGTTTCCATCTAACTTCTAAGAGTCCTATCTTTGTTATGGCCCATTACATCCATGGTCACTGAAATACTTTCTCTGCCTATGGGTGTGAGGTAAGCCTTGTACAATGAGTCACTATAACCTTCATCATATTTTGGATACTTACCGTCTAAAATCAAACAGAGGTAGAGAAACCTGACCCAAAATTTCTGGGCCCTTTCTCTGTTTATTTGAGTCAGGAGAACTTCCACTGCTTTGATTTAGGATTCCATACAACGTCAAACATAGGACTGATTCCAATGGCAGCTGAGAAATCTGGATGGGGAAAATTATTCTATAAAATAAAAGCATTAAAATGTCAGCCACAGCGAAAAACAAATACTAAAAAGTTAAATTTTCATGCAATTATATTTCAGCTCACTATCTCCCACCACCATTTCATAAACACTCCTGGATTACAGTTTTGCACTGCAGTAAGATTTGCAAAAGCCCTTTTTAACAGGCAAAGAATATTTGTCTTTTAAATCACATTCCTTACAAGGAGCTGGAGAGTCCAGCATAACCAGTCTTCCCACTCTGCTCTCTACCAGAACTCACTCAATTCCATGTTAGCTGCCTCCTCACCTCTCAGATTTAAAGTTAGCTGACAATCAATTCCCATCCTAATAAAATAACCTCTTAAAAAGAACTTAAAGTTGAATTCCTGAAATGGCACAAATCCCCCATCCATGAAGAGAACAGCTGAAGAATATAAACCACACTAAAAAAATCAAGCTCAGTTTTTTGTTTATATTTTTTTTTGTTTTTACTGGTTAGCATTAAAGTGCTCTTTTCAATTTGTTTTTTTTTTTTAAGATTGCTTAACATACCAAAATATAATTCTAAAACTTACCACAACCATATTACTAAGTCAGTTGCCAAGTATTTTAAATAGCTTGTAAACAGTCTGACACACCTCTCACTGTGATATACTACCAGCTGCCAGAAGGAGAACTGACCAYGAATCCCTTGCACATTTTTAAAAATAAAAAGGCACTCCAGAGACAGGTAGTCTAGAAACTAAAGGTTTTATTCACAGATTAAAAAAAAGTAAAGGTTTTATTCTTTATAACTGTAGAATTTTCTTCAGAGTCCATATATGACCTTTAAAAGTGTGTAGGAAGAGATATATAGGACAAASTAGAGCTGATCTGACACTCCAGTTATGACAGGCTGCGTAGTAAGTGGAAAGAGTTGTGCATAAAYAGTGAAATATATTTCCCCCTGCTCCAGTAACACCCACATCTCTTGGTAATTCATGCTTGCACACCCTCCCTTCTTGCATTTTACCTTCTTCSTACTCACATAAAGAGAAATTTTAGTTGTTTATTAGCTCAAATCAGACATTTTCATACGCCACAGGAAAAATTCTCTAACACTTAAACTTTCTCTTTATASAAATAATGCTAAATCACATTTTTAAATGCAGATATATACAGAGTTATTAAAACATATTCTGGAATAGAAAAAAAAAATCTATTTATCATAAATTTCAGTACAAGTCACTTGAATTACCTCCCCATCTGGATAATTTTAAGCATCATTTAAGAGCAGCTTTATTCAAGGTACCAAGCTGCATTCATAAAGTAGCTAAGTGCTATATATGAATGTATTTTAGTGTGTTTTATCATGAAGTCACTTACAGTTCATCCCATTTAATCAGGTAGAAGAAGCTTTTGTATGTGCCAACCTTCTTGGACTGAACAGGTTTGAACAGATCTCTTCCATTATGGGTCAGAGAACATATCAAATAATATTTTTCATAACTGGACAAGAAAAGAAAGGAAAGTAAACAAAAAATAAATCTAGAAAAGGATGAAATTTTACAACTGATAAATTACTCACTTTGATACCCAAGCAGAAAATATTCCATGTGCAGCAAATATTGTGAACTGGAGATGTTCTGTGGCAGTCCATGCTTCCTTGGTGCCCTGAGTGTCTTTGGGAGAAATTACAGCAGAGCTGCTGCTGCTGCATGAAATCATGTGCAGTCGTAGAAGGTCCTCAACCGCTCTTGTTAACTGGTCTAGGCTCACCTTCAGAGGGTTCTCAGGCTGCAGTGAACCTAAATTATAACGTATCTTTAATATACATTTTCCTAAAGCAGACACCTGAAAACTATTTTAAATAAGACTGAAGAACTTCACTCACCAGATGAGCTCTTGCTACTGTCCTCACCACGTTTTAAGGATGCCTGTACAGTAAAGTTGGAACAAGTTTCAGAACCAAGAAATCCATACTCAGCCACTGTTCTTGATGAGTGTCTAGCACAGAAAAACTAAGAAACTTCTGAATTAGGTCCATTTTTTTTCCCCATTCAGAGTTCCTGAAGAGTTAACTGACAACATCTCAACTTTCCTTCTGTGCAGCAAATATTTTCCAAGTTCAAAGGCTCATGTGCTGTGTCAAGTCACAACCATTCTCCTATCTTTCAGAAACTGTTAAAAGACACGGTATAGTGGAATATTGTTCATGGATACAAACTGATCCGAGACAAAACTCTGGCAGAGTTGTTAGAGATGAAAGCCCAATTACGCAGCAAGTTAGGTCTGAAAAGTTGTTTTGTTACTGCATGTTAACACATTCTTCTGTAGTCAGGGTTATTTTCACAGTCCTGAATAAAAATGTTAGTGGCTGAACAACTAAAGAAACCTTCTACTACCTCTATCTGCTACATTTACAGTTTTACACAAAAACAGCTAAAAGTCCAAGTCAAAACATGATGTGGTATTACAGCCATCTCTCATCTCAACAAGGACACTGCTGGAATCTAAAGACAAACTAATCATGGGAATTTACTCCCTTATTATAAGGGAGACCTTCATGCCAAATTCTACTTCTGATAAAGCAAACTTGAAATCAGAAGCTATGTTGGTGGATTTAAAAACAAATGTCTCCACTTTAATTGTGATATACTCCAAGTACTTTAGATAGCAGACTGACAAACACTGATACAGTACAACACTTGCAAAGCATGTTACTTTCCACTTGACAGTCTACTTCTTTCTTGAATTTTTTGGCTATTTCTTCCAACAACAAATCAACAATTAAAAGAAGTGTAAATATATATTATCATTCAAGACAAATAAATTTTTAAAAAAGGGAGGGTGGTTGTTTTGGTTTTTTTACTAGTAATGATGCACTTTTTGAAATTTCTTTCAAGATAACATATTTGGAAGCATTTTTTAGACTAATCCAATTATTTCTATACCTTTTCCATACCATATCTGGAGAATTGATATGTTGAATTTTACTAAGCTTTAATGARTAATTTCTGTATTCTCCTGCAAGAATTTTATTTGCCCTGTGCATCCTGCATGACTTCAGCTTAGCATGGCAAACATATCACTAAACTGATGAGCCTGAGGAAAATGGAAAAAAGACACATAAATTCCCATTCCCACTCTGACTACAGGACAAGAGAACCAGTATTACAAAGCTATAGGTTTTTTGTATCTGCCTTTCTCTCTAATTACAGGGTTTTTGATAAAGTGACTTCGGATTTACGCTCAAGTGAACTGTTCATTGTAAATTCAATCAAAATCTGCACTGAGATCATATGAAATAAGTGATTTTTTTTGTTCATGTGCTCAGAAATCAGGCAACATAATGATTAAGAGTTTTAAGATGCTAACAGTGTAAACAAAAACTACATAGAAAAGACAAGATGTGAATTCATCTTCTATGAGCCTTGCTGCACTGATTTTACAGGACATGAGCTGCTCATCAGTTCCACTCACTCAGATTTAACATCATCTGCTGATACACAGATCTGCACACAGAACCAGAAACACAGTATTTTGTCAGTAGCTTTAAAAGTGGCTACTTTCCATAGTGAAGGTTTCCAAAGCAAATGATAAATTGAATTAACAGCAAAAGGTAGTACTTTTATAGTACTGAACTGCTGGTAGCACTGAACTGCTGCAGACATCCGGGACTACCAAAGATTCTGAAGTAGTGTAAAACATCCCACACAATCCCCCAGCATTAGAATGCAATTTGGAGTGTGGAAGTCTACCTCGGTGTTTTTAGTCCTTTGAAGATTAACAACCCTCCTTAGCTTCTTTACGGATTCTGTTATTGCAGGAGTCTCTACACCATCCAATGTAAAACAGATTTTTCTGACCGTCTTTATTACATGTTCTACTGCTTTATGTTGGTTCTAAAAAGAAAAGCGTGAAAGAACACATAACTGATCACAGCTGCAAAACTCAGGACTGCTTTAAACATAGCTTTAGAATCAACTACTAAGAAAAAAATCATTGGAGATTTAAATCTCAAATACATCTAACTGCAGCATAACAATCTGATTAAGTAAATACCACAGTCTCAAAAACTTCCTTATAGCCCAGTTATCAATGCAGCAAACAGAAGCAGTAGGGATTTTAGAATGGTTCCTCTTCCTTACCCCCTCACCCTCCTCACAAAAAACCACACTCACACGAGGGAAGGCTCCAGCTTTTTTTGCCCCCCTGCTTTTTTTTTTTTTTTTTTTAAACCTACACCACCTAGCTCTAGGCCAAGACTTTTGAAGGTTCATTTGAAGGAATTCTGAAGGAGTCATTTGAAGTGAATGGTATTTTTTTTTCCTTGCATACCATTTACTTATAACTAAGAGGAATTAGTATAATATGCTTGTAGTTAGATTTTTTTTTCTTCCCCTCTTGCATATTCTCATGACTTGGCTGCAAAGAATTTAAAAGAAAAAAAAAAAAAACAGTAAAGCAGTACCGGAAATTGCCTCACAACAATTAACTTTGTTCCAGTAAGAGAATAACCACATAAACTGGAGGACTACACTGTAAATATTTAAGCCCTAAGTTAAGGGCTAACGCTTCCAAGACAACTCTCTGAGCATATCAAAAGCAAAATTACCATGGTTATTTTGATAAAAATTACAGGCACTCAAGACTATCTGAATAAAAAGACAACTTTTAAATGTCCATAAATGTGAAATTAAGAGCTACATATAACTTATCTGCAGATGACTTAAGACTCTATCACTTGCATTAGCAATCTTCAGCCATTGCACTTGCAAAGGAACTCACTTTGGGAAATGAAACTTTCAAGTGGAGAACTGCTGATATTTGAATCTAATCACCATCTAAAAGCTACATCTCCCATCTTTAAAAAAAGATTGTGGAAAGATTAGAGCATGACACTGAAGTGAGATACTCTGCGTTCCTCAGCTCAGCCTGTGAAATCTCATTAAACCGGCAAGCTGGAGCAGCTGTTAAGAGCGAGGCAACAAGGAAACTACCACACAAGGCAGCAAGAGCATTTCACTCTTCTACAGTAAGACTGTGTTCAAAAGCTGCCCTTGAGAACACTGAATCACCATCACGGGAGCTGAGTGATCTTCACAATGATATTCAGGGAATATGGAAATACTCTTTTTAAAAGAAGTAATCTAAGGTTGATTAATTCACCAAGGTAAGTTATTACCAGGAGTTAACCTACTTTAAACATTTATAAAAAGATTTGCTTAATTTACCTTCAGCTAGCTTCTGCATCTGGAAAATTACTCCAAATTAACCTTCACAGGCAGGCCTTTTTAAGCTACCTATGGCACAGTGAAATATACCCTACTGTTTTGACAACATATTATCAATTCATCTAACTCTGCAGAATAAGGTATTACACTTGTGTAAAACTTCAATGTTCAGACATGCTTCAGTGGTAATTCCGAGCGCACACAAATACTGTTCCTTGCTTTGCACAGACTGTGATCTGTTATCAACATATCATCATAGCTAACGATGCTATGATGATATATTGATAACAATGTTGATTACGGCCTTTTCCCTTCTTCTCAAAGTTAATCTTCTCTAGTATTTGTAAAGAAAAGGTTATTTGGCAGTCCAGGATTTGGAAGGTACAGCTTTTCTGTTATAGCTGTGACAATAACATTATTACTTGTTAGCTAGAAATGGGGAAGAAATCTGAAAAATTCATGATTCCAGATCTACCTCTGACAGTTTATTGAAATTTATTTTTTCAAGAGCTTCAGCTAGTCTTTGTTTCCTAATAAGACAGTTGGAAAATCTCATGCTAATTTCAGTTCAGCAACAGCTCATTAAGCTTACCTCATTTTTAAGCGCTATGTCAATTTGTTTATGATAGGCATCAAGAAGTTCTTCAATAGAAGACCTGCAACAAGTAATAATTATTGAACAGAAGTGCAAGAGTGTAACATTGCCCTACTCAGTTCAACAGTGAGCTTGATCATAAAAATAACCTCATAACATTACCTTATAATAACATTTCTGAAAGGCTTTTCTACTTTGTAGAGGTGTTTTGTTAGATGCACGGGGGTTCTATCATCTTCTTCCTATAAAGAAAACAGGAGATATTGGGGCTCGTTCTGTAATTTCAAATACTGAGAATTTTCATCACTTGTGGAGTAGAACAGCAAAGATAAAATGTGGTCTCTTCAAAAGGTGGGGTGGGGAGAGAAGAAATAAGTAGCTAATAGCCTATGAAACAGGTACATGTTGGGGCAGGGGAAGAGAAGTGCAAGGATTGAGCACCTAATTCCACAGGCACCAAATACTCCTCCCTCCCTCCCTTCCTCCCTCCCACCTTGGCAATATCGTGTATCTAAACTTCAAAACTGTTTTCAGGTTGTTTTTAACTCTGAAATTTTCTGTTTCTCTTTCAGGCCTCAAGACAGGAGCAAAAGCTTGCATATTTTTTCCAGCTACAGTAATTATCTAGTAAGAGACAATATCCATATTTAAACAATCTTTCCTTGCCAAAGTTCACTATGTGTTTCATTTCCTCTTAGTAGGATAGAACACAATTCACAACAGCTAAGCAGATTTATTAACTACACAAGGTTACAACTTTCCCAACTTCTTGAAGCTGGGCAAAGACAACACATTTCCTTAAATATTGTCCCAAAGCTAAGAAATCAGATGTTGACAAAAATCCATCTATTTTCCTGCAGGAATTATTTCCAAATTCTATACACTATATATGTATGACACTCTTAACTAATGCACCTAACTTTTAGAGTTAGTTTCCTAATAACAAAATCAGATTTACTGAAGTTGAGGAGGTACTCACTGTTCGTGCCAAATCTCTGCACATTGCACTACGGGTCAAGAGCTGCAGTTTTATTTCTGTATCCCATTTCCGGCAGTTCTGAATATATTCATGGCTTCCTACACAGTGCTTACTGTCAAATGAAACAAAAACTATCATTATTCACATTAAAAAAGCAGTRGTTTAAAAACAAAAACATGCCTCAAAACACAAGRTATTTCTTGATCTGTTTTTGACTTCTTCACAAGTTCCAATATACTATTGCAGATATCTATGTTTATGTTGAAGCTCTTCACTATTATGGCTACTAAGGAAACTAAGTATTTTACCCTAGAAAATACTGTGTTATAGTTTTGAAAAAAATATGATACAGTTGATAATCGTTTGAAATAACAATAGATTTATCTAGAGATTTATCTACATCTAAATCTATTTATCAATAGGTTTATGTAGAGCAGCTGTAAACTATATCATCCTCTCCAACTAAACAAAGTCCACAGAGAAATCTACATTTTGGACTATTATTTGTGTTCACCATACCATCAAGTATAGTTTAGAAGAAAATTCTAGGAAATTGCTGAGGACCAACTTTGCCATATCCCAAAGCAACTTTAAGATCTAATTTTTATGCAAAAATGCCTTTTTCTATATCTACATGTATGCCTTCATTCTATAAAGATACTGCTGCTTTCTCACATTTAATCATTAAAGATACACTTTCCAGTAACTGTGCCATGAAAAAGCAAGAAGTTAAACATTAATGAAAAAGAGTTTGCTTACTTCTGTAAAACTTCTTCTTGGCCACAGACTTTCAGGATATAGCTGCCAATGTCCACTTCATTCAAGTCATCATGCACCCAGCAAAGTGCCTGCATTATTATAAGCTCCACAGGGGAACTCACTGTTTAAAGAAATTACATCTAGTAGTTATGTGTATAGCGACTGAGATTAACTGTTTTTCATTCAAGTTGTAACTGTTCTTTATTTAGTTTTATTACACTGTTAGAGAAGACTCTTATGCTTCTATAATTTCATAGGTTTCATCACCTGAGAATTTCACTTTTTACAGCAAAGAAGGCTATCTTACAAACCTGCCTGTAGTTTGCCTGTAGAATTCACTAAATTCTTTTTAAAATAGCATGTGTTATACCCACTTCATCAAAAGTTTGAAAAGGCTGTAATTTGCAATTTGTTTGCACTCTTTTTTTTTATACCAGAATAGCATATTTTTATAGCACTAAGTCATGTTCAGCAAGTACTTCAAACACTTAAGGAATCCTTAAAAAATCCTTAGCTTAAAAAATTTGTGAAGAGTTGAAGATAAAACTTTGCTATTTATTCTGTTTTTTGAATTCTGTTTTGAATTCTGAATTAGCCAACTGCAGTGGAAGCAAATCCTCCTGAAATAGTCCCCCCTCCCAGTTATGTCTAGGGCAGTTTCTACACTGTACTGCTTAGAGATTAGGGCAGTTTCTACACTGTGCTGCTTAGATTTTAGCAAGCATCAACACATACATTCAAAAGGCAGCTCATAACCACCATCACTTTCTTATCAGATTCCAAATGCGTTTTGGGAAGCCTTCTTCCCCTTCAATCCAGCAACCACAAAATAAAAAATAATTCCCATGAAGCCAAAAAATCCATTCTCCCATGGCACCAGCTGACACTGAGGAAGAAGGCATAGATATGCTTTTATATAAATGTTAAATAATGATTTCAGCTGTATGCGGAAAAAATAAACCTAAACCAACAAAAACTCCAAAAGTCTAGAGCTCTCTGCTCTATCAAATCTACTCACTAGTGTGAGTGGAATAGAAACATTTAAATAACATCAAAGGATTTCTGAATTTAAGTACTACTTTCAGTTTGGAATATGTTGGTCAATAGTGAAAAAAAAGATGCAGTAATGTTTGTATGTTAGGCTATATGGACTAAGGCCAGCCAGTCCTGTAACAGCTGGTGGAGTAATGCCAAGATGGAGTTATAATTCTTTTTTTCCCCTCTCATTAACAATCATTAATTTCTTGCCGACACATGAGAATGGCAGCAATAGTTTTATTCATCCAGGTAAAATCTAATAAAAATTACTAGGTATTACCCAAATAAGCTCTGAAGCTAGTCTGTTTCCCTCCTGGGTCTCTCCTACACAGCAGTTGGCACTGGAGAGCTGTAGTTCCCTCTAAGCAGAAACACAAGCCCTGCTACAGTAGTTCTGGCATCAGGAGGCCAAACTACCCAGCACAGTCAAAGCAAGAACAGAAGGAATCAGAAGACACTTACTCTGAATCCACGTAGCTAGCATGAGCTAAAGGTTCTCGTCTTTCACTAGCTACAGCAGTATTTTAATTGTGATTAGTTTCCACATCAGGAAAGGAAGCAAGGAGAAGGCACAGAGAGTAAGACTTTTGGAGCTAGAATGCATTGCACATTCCAAGGCTACTTGGAATTCACAGAACTTCTAAAAATAGAGCGTGGAAGCTATAAAATTTCAGTTTACACTATTAAAACCTTTTGTAAAGAAGGATAAAGTCTGTAATTTTAGGAAAAGTCTAATCTCAGGGATAATCACCAGAAAAACTCCTTAGCCTACAATAAAGAACCATCTCATTCCTTAAGAGTATTAGTCACAGCAGAGTAACTATAAGGTCTGGCAAGCTTAGAGAATGAACACTTCTGTGCATTGAGAACTTGTTTCCTGACACAGCATCTAGCTTAAGACAACAAAAAAAACACTTAACATCTTTGCAATATATTCAAACCTAAAAAGTCTACACTGCTACAGACAGAGAATCAGACACTGGTAAGAAACACTGTGGCAAAGATACACGGCTTGGAGAGGGTTCTCTTTTCCAGACCATGCCACCAAAACATTAATAGACTATAACAGGGTAAAGAGTTTAGTTTTGAGGTACTTCACTGGGCAATTGCTATGCAATCTTGACTGCTGCGAAAATACAAATCTCTGCATAAGAACACTGTAAATTGATACTCATGGTTATCTACAAACCAGTCCACTTATTTGCAGCATGGTGAGCTGCAAGTATTTTAGTGCTCACAAGCACATGTTCAAATCATGCTATAACTAAAATAGCCTCAATTTTTATTGTCATTTCCTGACAGCTATTTGTCTGAATTTTCAGACAGCCTGAAATAGTTTTATTTCAACGCTCAGATAGTTCTTGAAAAATAAATAAACTATATAAATAACTAAAAGTCCTAAAGAGGAAAAATTACCCTTAATGAGGTCTAACTTAAGAAGTCCAACTATGGTTAGGACAATGCTGCTGGTATACTTGATTTTTCTCTTTAAACTCTTTTTTTTAAACTTTCTTTTAAACTCTTTTCCTTTACTTCTAGAACCTCTAAACATTTCCTGGTGGAGGCACTGACCAAGAATTTGTTTTTCAGTTACACTTTGCAGATTCCTTGCCAGTTGCCCGCACATCCACAATTTGGGCTTGCAAAACCTGAATGCCACTGGTCCGAATATAACCTGAATATACAGTCTCAGCCCACAGGCTGTTAAAACATTTAAAGCAAGCTCCAATTTAAAAAGCAGAAACATACCATCACACGTAAAAGTTACCGGCTGCTGGAATCCTTTGATTTCTATAGAAACCTTGATACTGGCACTCTCTCCACTGATATTTCTTTGCAGCATGATTGGACTCAGCACAAAACCTGGATTTGTTAGTAGATTATCGTAAGGAAACTTGGTCCTCAATCTGTAAGTAGAAAATGTTTATGAAAACACTGCAGTGGATAAATGTACGAATAAAGGTAAAGCATATAATAACTACAAGTCAGAGAACAGTAAAGAATACCTTTTGCTCTTTACCTAAACTGTATTCACAGCAAGATTTGTTTTTTCTACTCTCAGACCATAGTCTGAAATAATGACATGAACATCTGTTACAGCAGAAAGAATAATCTTATAATTAAAAAGAGAATCGTAGGATTTTCATATAGCTTAAAATATTCAGCAGGCCAAAGCTTTGCTGCTGCGGAAGCTAAGCTCTAAAGTAGTTTTCAAAAAAAAAAAAAAAAAAAGCCCAACCCACAAACAAACCTATTCCATAACATCTGTCTAAAACAGAATTTATCAGAATTTATTTCAAAGACCATAGAACTCTCTGTATGTTTGAATTTTTGAAAACCCAATCTGAACTTCAAGTGATTATCTTTTGAAAAGTACCATAAATTGTGAAAATTAAGAAGGATAAATTAAGAGGAGGGCTTTTCTTGATGACACAAGCATCAAAACACATTCRCCTGCTAATGAACAGAAAGTATTTTTGACAGCTGTATTGCTATTTAACACAGATAAAATAATCTTGAATTTCTGTCAGCGTGAGAGCAAAATTATAGGAGATTAAGAACCAAACTCGTCTACAATGATCGATCACTCATCTCCAGTATTTTGATTACTGACCACAGCAAGAATAAAAAACATGTAATCTCTCTAGCCAGGGTTGTCCAGTCACAGCAGCACAGCTGTCCAGCATTTTAAGCACAGTCTTGAAAGCACAATAATTTAACTATAAACTGTTACAAAAAGCCTTTGAGAGCTTGGTCTCAATACTGTTGAACAGTAACTTCCATGGGTTTCCATTGTGTAAGACTCTCCTCACTTTTTATGGAGTTCGCTTTTCATTTCAGAAACATTCCTGCTTTTTGAATTTGTCTGTTAATAACTAACTTGTAAAATACCTTTATTTCCTCAATTACTTATTGGGCCTTTATCTCCTATTCCATTTTTGAATGGCTAATCCMAATATTTTCACCATAGAAACTTGTATTTAAGTTACAGTAGTACCTGATAATATGAATGGATGTGTATCAGACAAGATAAGAAAGAGTGAAACACTGATTTTAAGGAGGAGGAAGATGGATACGTTGTTATTTTGGCTGCTCCTTGAAGGAGGCATCAAAAAAATATCTGAAATAGTAATTGAAATCTGAATACCTTAACAATTTTGTTGTATCTTTGGAACAGAAGACAAGAGCAGGGAAAACTAGGAAATGGTGTGACAAATGGAAAAGGTATATGCAAGCCTGCCTATTCGGAAAAAGTAAGCTTAAAATAGAACCTGTCACCCTACTGAAAATTTCAAATCTGATTTTATCTTCTCAACACAGAAACAAAGACTCATTGAGCCATTCCATTACTTCTGAAAGCTATTTTGCATCCAGTAATATCTTACTTTGTAACTGCTTGAGAAAAAGCTGACAGCTCTTGGTTCTGCCCCTCAAGTTCTTGGCGAAGTGCGTGTTCTGTGAGCGTGCCAGTGGTCCCATTGTCTTTCTGCAGCTCAACGATAAAAAAAAAAAAAAAAAAAAAGAACACATGTTTGAATAGTTACAAACACACTTCTAGAGCCTGTAAACCACAAGCAGTAGAGAGACTTGCAGAAGCCTGATGTTTATCATTAATTTTATGTATATTCTACAAATCATGCATGCATCACTGCCACCTTGAAAAGCAAAGACCCACTGAAGACTGCTTTCGAGAAGGTGATTAAGTTGCAAGCACAACATTCATTGAATTTTACTGAACCAGAAGACAACAGCTGACAAGTGATTTTTTTCCTCCTCAACTTTTGCCAAAACTTCACTATGGAGATACAGACAGAGCTACACACCAGCTCTGCTGATAGTTACCTTTTGCTGAGGAGCAGGGGAGAAAAAACTATACACTGTAAGGAAGCAGCATTTAGAACATGAAGCCTAGAATTAGTCCTGTAATCTCAAATTTGTGCTATTTTAATCCCTTAAAACACATATAATCCTCCCCAACTAGACTCCCCAAATGTGCACTGCAATCTTCAGCGTAGCCAATAAAATAACAACTACTGAAAGAGAATTACAGTTTAAAACAAAAAAACAAAAACCCGTAACAAATAAGTTTAGAGAGGGAAAAAAAAATAATAATAAAAGGAGGTGGGTGGGAGGAAACTAGAAAACCCACAAACAACAAAGCAGTAACAGTTTTCAGCCCAGGCCTGTGTCTGACCCAATTCACAACAGAGCCATACAAATGCTGGAGTAAGCAAGAGGCAGCAACCAGCTGCATGCAGTGGAACTAAACCCCCAGGAGCCCAGGGGCCACAGGCAGCCTGGGACAATCATGAAACTACAGCCAGATACTCTCTGCAGAAAGCTGATCTTCACGGACCTGGTCTTATCCAGCCTGGAGTCCTTCTGCATTTAGACCATTGGGCCTTCAGGATATTAGTTAAGTTTTTGATCAGTAACATTTTCCATCTAGAGCTTTTAATACAGTCACAGAAATCTTCAGCTCGTACAGAAGTCAACGATCACATAACTGGTGATTAGCTGTGTAACAGGAAGCAACAAGTGCACGAAGCTGCAAAGTCAAAAAAATCCTGGAAGGAGATTAAGGAGTAGGTCTGATACCCTAAGTTTAAAGGGTTCCTCCCATTCTTGTGAGTTGGRCAAGTTGTTTCACATAAAATATTTCTGGTCAAGTGTGAGGCCAGCTGACATGCCTGCGTCGTGCTACTGCCTACAGGCCACGCATGCCTCAAAAGCAAGCGCACAAAACAGAAATCACACACAAGGAAACAGGAAGAGAGCTCAGCAAGTGAAAGGCAAACGCCCTCCAGAAAGGCTCAGCTAAGTGACCAAAAAAAAAAAAAAAAAACCCCACTATTTGCAAATCAAGCAGCTATACAAATGTTAAATATTCCCTGTTAAGGGTAAGGACTGTTCTGTGAGAAGCTAGGCAATAGCAAAGAAAACCACCAAAGCACTTTACAGCTCTCACCAGAGCGTAAGAAAGCTCCACAATGGGATTGCTTAGAGCAAAGTCACACTAAGGATGCAAGGCGGCCACTTCTATGGCCCAGCGGGAAGTCGTCCAGTTATTTATGACAAAAGCTACAGTTGGCTTGCTAGCACTTCAGAGATTTGTAAGGAAATAAAAGGCAGTTGGCAAGTTCAGCCAGAACTAAGGAAAGAAATAAATGCTATTACAGATGCATACTGCAGGAAATTAAGTGCTGATGTGAAACTAAGAATATCTCCTACCTACTTGCTTATTTTGTTGATTTTGAATGCTCTTTGGAAGTGCTCAAAATTGATCTTTTTGGAAGATTATTTCAGGAATGCAAGTTTTGGTAAACTAAGAAAGTTAAGGTCACTGGACTAAGATGATCTTGAGCAACAAGCTGGATTTGTATTTCTTTACTTTTTCAGATGGGCAACTCTAAGAGGTGCAAAAGCTCTTAGCTTAGAAAATAACTTGTAAGACAGGACTGGAACTTCAGGCCAAACCAGATAAAGACTGTCTGAGAAAAAAGCCTTTTATCAGTAGATGCTGCAAAAATAAAAGTGATCTGCAAATACAATCAACCTTACCAAACAGGAAAAGGTCAATGAATTACTAGACGCCCAGTTAAATCAGATCCCACAAGTATATAAAACCAAAAAGACTCYTCAGCTCTGTGAAGAGAAAAAGGAGAGCAACAGCTTCTAAAAAAGGATAAAAATGGCCATGTTGCCTCTACCTTTCAAAAGGAACAATAAACACAGAAGCAGCTTAAAGAGAATAATGAATACATACATTCATCAAATATGAAACAAAACTCATAGTCATCTGTTGACTCAAGGAATTAAATATCATATGACAAAATCTAAATACATGACTAGAAATTTGTAAGTGTAATTCTTTGTTTATAAGAAGTCAGGGAGATAATGAGGTGACTCAGGGAAAAGCAATCCAGGCTAGTTAGGACAGACTCCAGAGTACATTCTGTGGGACATACTTACCTGCAGCTAACTGGGGTAAAACACAAAAGACGTGCCAAAGGTGGAGAGTAAATAGCACCTTCCTAAGCAATGGAAAATTATTTAAGCTAGAAAACAATGCAGCAGCACAGGATTGACAATAGATAAAGCAAAAAGAGCAGGTTGTCTTCAAAGGGTACACTGGTCTGAATGGCTCATCTTTAGATTAATTTATCAYTTCTTTCTGTGACAGCACAAGAAAGAGAAACAGCTTGAAGATAGTTCGCACTTTTATATTATCACGGTCCAGTTATTACTTCAGTTTTAGTATGTAGGACTAAGCAACAGCTAGTTTGCTACAAACTACAGAAATATAGGTGGAAAGAAAGTCAAGGACATGCAATCAAGAACTCACTGAAAAAAAATGTTATAAACCAAGAACTTGTTCAAAACAGATGGTGGCTGAAAAAACATCCAGTTACATCAACTGACTACAGGGTCAGTACATGCTAAGGTGATGCCAACATGAATAAAATAAAAATGTGTCAAGCAGAATAGTGCTACCACATGAGGRTTTATTTTGCATAAGGCACATGGTACACTGCTCTCAGAGAGATCCAAAATTCTCTTATGTCACCTTCAAAAGCGTCCTACATGCAGCAAGTGACAGGAAAGAGGAGCTCTCATGAGGGGAGACAAGCTTGCAAGGACAAAGTCAGCATCCCTCCAGTGCGTGCAGCAGGATGCAGCGGCAGGTATTTAAGATTAAGTACCATTCTGACAAGAACAACTTTTGCTATGAACCTGTTCTGAATATATTGCTGAAAAAAAAACTGCTGAAAATCAAAAAAAAAATCTGAAAAGCAGATGACTAATTCTGAAGACAGCCAAGAGTCTGGATCTGGAAGAGAAAGTCAGGTCCCTGGAATAGCAGACAAAACTGCTAGGGCAGTTTGAGTATTTTACAAACTGGAAAAAGTGTGATCTACAAAGAGCACTGGACCTAATGGTCAGGCACGACCCTTTCAAAGGCTGCACTCTTGAAAGAGACCTGGAATTTCACTCATTGACTCAAACATTTAACTCAGTGACGATCAGACAAATTTTAGTTTCTCTGGCCAACATCTCAGAAGCACAATCCAGCTATTCCAGCTGGTGGCTACTTCACAACAAACAATGCAAGAAGACCCACATGATGATCACTAGATAAATGGTAAAAAGTGAAGATGCAAACTGTCAAAGACACCAAGCTTACCCACATCTCTAAGGAGAACAAGAGGTAGCTGTGCTTACATATCTAAACTTAACTGAAGGGGGGACTTGAAGCTATTAAGCTATACACAAACCTTTCACCATATCACTTAAAAATCAGATCCCTTAAATATACAGGTAAAGGCATTTTGAGYTTAAGGTGTTTTGTTTTTTGTTCTCCACTGCACTAGCCACTACTAGACTTTTGCCAGAATACTGACAACTAGGCCAGAACAACAGGAAATACTCAAAATGAACAGTCAGAAATTTCACCTCAATGGAAATTTAAAGAGCCTGTTAAAATAAAGCCTAGTAAATCTTCCTTTTTTTCCAGGAAAAAAAAAAAATCTGGCGCCAAGGTGGGTCAAAGGATTAAGGAGCAATTTTAAAAACGTCCTTGATGATAATAGTTGGCTTTATAGCTTGTACCTAACCCCCTAAAAACACTTAGGAAAACAATACACAGAACACTCAAAATTGCTTCAATTCCAGATCTCTAAAGCAAACAAATCTTTCACTCTTCCCCCACCAAGGSCACAGAGTTTCTGCAGAAATTAATCTTCCTGCCATAACTTCTCCTTCAGTCTGTGTAGTCTGTCTACATAAAAACAAAACACACAAAAAAAACCCCACACCACAATCTAAAAGAATTCATTCACTTTCTATAGAAGTGGCAAACTTAACTTCTACAAAATAATTTCTTGTTTTATCAAAGATCTATCAGAAGATGACTTTTTAGTAAAGATAGAAAAAAGAAAGAATTTACTGAACTCTTACTGGAAAAGTGTGTCATAACTTTGGCAATTTCGTATTGAAATTTTTATGAAAGGGATCCTGATCTCAGGGCAGAGACTGCCCTTTTGCTCCTCCCCCTGCCCGAGGCAGATAGCTCTCTACCAAGAAGATGGTCTTCCCTCCTTCACCACAGAAGCACAGCGTTTCTGAGTCAGCAGCATCCATCAGTACCACCTTCTAGGACATATATTCAAAAGTTTTGCAGTTACAACCCCTTCAGCATTTGCACAGAAGGAAACGTTTATGCCCACAGGAAAAATACAGCAGGTCCTGTGAAAACGTGCAAGTGAAAGCAGGAAAGATAACAGTCATCCTATGTTTTTTTGTTGTTGTTGTTTGGGYTTTTTTCCTTTAATTCTACAAGGAGAGAGAAATTCAAAAGTACTGTGAAAAACTCACTTTCCATATCTGCAATAAAGGCTGCTTCAGATGCAACTTTTCTTTGACCTCTACTTCACCATTTTTTTTAAACAAATTTAAATATTTATCTTTGTGATTTAAATATTTCCTCAGCCTAGGTATTTCTCCCTTCTCTTTTTTTTTTGTAGCATGTTGGATAACGGCAATTTCCCCTAAAAATTTAGGAAGAGTAGGTAGACATATTGTGTACTTTGATACTTACTTCAGTAGTAGCGCGCAGTTTTCTGAATATCATCAAAATACACATATACCAGTAACTGTCACACTCTTTGGAYGGTACCCAAGCCAATTAATGCTCAGCAAACAAATCTATATCTTAAARGCTCTTTAAATACTGCTATACCCTTATTTAGAAAACTGTTCTACATACCTCTGTTGTTTGGCCCTGGAACTTTGCAAGGGGAGTTGTTCGAATGTTCAAGGACTGGCTTCTCGTAACTGTTGCTCCTGAAGATTTCCCATTAAGCTTTCTTTCCATATGACAAGTTACTAACAACTTTTCTTCTAAGAGCACAGCGTCCCATGGATCCTCCGCAGTCATGCTGGAAGTCACCTCACCATCATCTTCCGCCTTGTACAAAGTCTCCACACTATCCATTTTTGGTTTACTTAGAGGATCCAAATCTAGCCAGTCAAATTTACTAATGTCTCTGCAGCTTTCTGAGGCTGGTAGATCAGAAACTGCAGACTTAAGAGCAGTCATCTCTAAGTCACTGCTCGACTTCCCATTTTTCAGAAATTGTGAGGTGCTTGCAATTTTGTCAAATACTTTTGCCATTTCTGGTGTAATTACTGGAGGATATATGGGAACATTTCCTTGTGGATGGAAAGGTGTAGTAGCTGCCAATGGATATGAAATGTATTGCGACTGTCTTGGAAGACCAAAATAAATAGGTTCTGTAGAGTGRTAGGAGGACACACTTGGATGGAATCCATTCTGAAATACACCAGTCTGTTTTGTAAAAGAAGCTGGGGCATAAATAGGAGGTAAAGTGCAAGTCGCAGGTGCTGGCATCCCAGGTGTCCACTGCCCTCTCCGACCAGCAGGCCCAAGATAAAACTGCGAAGAAACGGGTGGGTTCAAAATAGGCATTACTGGTAATGCAGGTCCTTTACTAGATTCAAAACTATCATCCAGCAGCAGTTTCTCTAGTTCAGCATGAGTAAGTTTCTCTATGTCAATAGAACTTAGTTTATCTTCCATTCTCTTGGCATCAGACTCTGGAAACACCATAAGATCGTGGTCCTGTTTGTTGTCCTGCACTTTCTGTCTGGTGCTGCTTGAAGAATCAAGGGTTTGCTTATTTCCAGCTGCACCTCTTTCTTTCTGCATTTTAGCTAGCGCCTCAGCTTCCATCTGCAACGCCTCCTCCTTGTCCACATCTTTGGACCTCGCAGCTGCCAAAGAAGGGGACGAACGCTGTTTAAATCCATTGCTACTGGATATCTGGGCCATGCCGCAAGAGCAGGTGTCCATGGAAAGAATCAACACTTCTGCTTGTACTGGTTGTCCACCGTTGCCTATGTAAGAGATTCAGCAGATCTGAAAAGAAAACGAAGCATTAGAAACTTAGAAGACAAATGATAGGAGGTGAACTACTGAACCATGCACCAGTAAATGACAGGGTTGCACATACGTCCTTCAGAAACCTGGAGTACAAAGCTTTAGAAAGAGTGAATGTTTGACCACACTTTAGTCTCACAACTAAATTAAACAGAACTTTTGCATTGTACATGCAAAATATGTAAATAATCTAAGCAGACTTGCTGATTAAGTAATTCCTTTAAAAGACCCTTAAAGGAAGTATCATTCACTACTATACATGCAAAAGTCAGTTTTGGTGAAGGTCATCACCAACRAAGTGACAGCTTACATGGATCCAATTCTAGTCTCAGGCTCAACATTACTAGCCAATACCTACGTCTCTTTGCTAAAACAGTCTTACAACAGATTACCACATGAACTTCTGGCCGTTATGTTATTTTTCAGTACTCTTCCTACTTCATTCTATAGCTGTTAAACACAGACAGGTTAGAGCTGATTCCAGGAGATAGAGAGTTTTCCAGCAAAAGCTAGTAAGCAGATCAAACAGCAAGATAAAATTCACAAATGAGCTTCTGTGAAGAGAGTTAAATAAACAACAATCCTCAGTAAAACATGGTTTCATTGAGCAGGACTTGCTCTTAGACATAAATAATCAGAGGTTTTGGTGCTTATAAGAATTTAGCCATCCCAGCAGACGATTTTCAACACAGATGAAGTCTATGGGGAAAAAAAAAGCAGGCCCTGTATCTTTTTCTTTGCACTGTATTAAGCTGCAGAGTTTGGCAGTCATTAAAGCCACCACTACTGCCATGACAAAGAAGTCCTGTCCTATCCACCGCCCAGTTGCACAAGCAGTGYTGAAACAGCTCAAGGAGCTGCTCTGAAAGACTTTCTTGCTGGGTAACTTTGTAAGACAAGTCTGCTCCCTGATCCCATTTGCTGGTGAGCTGCACAAGCACTGGAAGCAGCGCAAGGGGCCTGCCAGGTTGTGGGAAGGGGTGGCACGGGCATCTCTCAGCGTTGGCAGMACAACAGCCTCATCAGGTATCCTTTGCACCCAGAGTACAGATGCAGGTCTGCAACAGGAGGGACACATACGGACCCGACACACATGTGTCTCAGAGCCTCTCCTAACTGCTCTGTTCTCTGGAGGTATCTCGAGTTCATGTCCTGACCACCAACCTGAACATGACTGTTAGATTTGGAAAATTAAAGCAAATGCAAGTAATATTTCTCATGTACTTGCTTAGTTTTAAATTAAGAAATATTTTGAAATAACATTTCAGGACAACTCATTTCAACACAATAGGCATGTAAAACTATGTTCAGCATTTTTAAGTTTACTTTCCCCATTTATAATTGTTTCACTAAGCTTGGCTTCCAGACCCTCTCATTTTTGGAGGGACAAAACCCACAGCATTTTTTTTTTTTTTTAAACAGAAGCTTTTAAGTTTGCAAACAATTTTATAAGTCTCCAGTCTGTTTTCTTGCTTCCAGCAATTTCTGTCTAAGAGGACATTTAGGCTTAGCTCTCCTACTACTGAAGTCAGAAGTGCTGGGCAGAACACTGCAGACAAGTTTATTTTATAACTTGTCTCCATGAGCACAGATATGTTCCTTTACTTAGTTTTGTACCAGACATGATGACTTTTTTTTTTTTTTTTTTAAGGGATTAGTTTCTGGGGTTTTTTTCATTGTTGCTGTTGTTTTGTTCCCCGCCCCGCCCAATCTCACAGAACTGAAATAAGAGTCAACTGCTAGATTGAATCAGGGACTTGGTGAAATCAGCACAGGTTAATGTGTTAAAAAAGGAGGTAAGAGCGGCCTGTTACTAAGGCAGACAGAAAAACATACGCCAGCTCACAGGCTCTTACAGTCCCCACTTTATTTTAGAAGACCAAAATGAAATAGTATCTTTAGCCTAYATATTTTTTATGTCATAGATGAGATTTACTTCCAAGTGAATCTTCATTGTAAAACACATGCATTCCTGTAGTTTGCAGGAGCAAATGCCATGAGCAGCAGCACATCAGTGACCTGCAGGGAGGCAGGAAACAAGTGACAGACTGTTCATCTGTTAACAGAACAGGTCACTCCAGATTTTCTCCTAAAGGGGYGCCAAGTATTTTGCAGAGAGTCTAAGCCTGCTAGCAACAGATGACGTCCTAATAAGAAGCCTGACGTACTTTACACTAACTGCTCAGACAGCTCAGATAAAGGCAACCTTTAATCTCATTAACCGATAGTTGTTTAAATTGTTATGTCAAATTTTTAGATGCAAAAAATACACTTAAAAAAAACTAATTTTGAAGTCCTCTAATTCCYGTTTGTCCATCTAAATCACAGTAGCAGCAGTAGCATGAAATAAGATCATTTTCACTGTTTTGTTGATGCCTGAAGATTCTGAAGAGCAACATGATTTTTTTGTTTTGAATTTTATTCAGAAAACCTAAAGTAGGATTATACTTGCTGACACTATTCTGAACTGTCTGGACAACAGCTTTGATGCAGCCTATCAAGGGCGTTCTGGTGCTGCTTGAGAATTACAGCAGACAGAGCAAGGATTTTCTGGGGCAGGAGGGAAAATCCAAGTTACATATCCCTCAAAGCAACTATAACAGGATCCAAACTATAGCCAGTTTACTGCCATAAGAAGTAGGAAAGCTTATTTTTCGGCCAAAAATGGACAGCTTTGATCTTCATGTTTGCCAAGCAATTTCCTACTCACAGCAAGCTACTGTTTCACCGCTTCAAGACTTGAGATAAACATTCTGKTTTTTTTTAAGCTTTCAGAAACCTGGTGCACAGCAAGACAGCTGCTGCAGCACATTCACTTGTAATGTCTACAAGATCCCAGTCTCTCAACAACTGTTTGTCTATTTATTTTAGTTTTCCCATGACAGTGCTGCAAACTGCCAGCCTGTGCTGRTATAAATGCAGCAACTTCTAATAATCAAAGTAGAAAAATATTATTATTAGCGATTGTCTGGAAAGTGGAGTTTGATTTTTATTTTTGCAAGGCAAGCACTCCATCACCAAAAACATACTCAGTTTGACTGCTGAACATAAGCGCTTTCCTCAGAGAGGACAGTTATCAAGCCAAACCAACATACAAATTTGTCAAATTATGTAACCTAACTGTACATTTCAAACAGCATCTGATAAAATTGCAAGTTTAAGCCAGACTTCATTCCACATGCCAGTTTTAAACTGTGAATTGATACAGTATTTTCTACATGTATTCTATTAGATGTAATAAGGCACAAACCTGCACACCTCTTTGGCTAAATCCAATCAGGCAGAATTTCCCCAATCACATCTTTACTAAAAAATATTGAATACATGTATGTAAAGCAACTAAAAATAATTTGCTTAGTTATGCACTTGTGGGGGTTTTTTTTGAGTATTGCTCTTTTTTTTTTTCTTTTTTTTTTTTAAATGCCTGGCAATATCCTTCAGATCAAAACCAATAAGTGAGAATGGAAATTCATTCCAAAATTAAAAAACTGGGTTACGGAGGCTTATATAAAAGCCAAAAGTACTTACATACCCCCATAGCAAATAGAAAAATATAACCATGAAGCAATTTTTAAGAGATCTCTGTTAGGAAGCATCAGGAAAACAATACAGAACAACACAGAGCATTATATGTCTACTAGTACATAGAAYCCCAATTAGCAAAATATCCTGCTACCTCAAATAGAATCTCACCATCATCTCACATACATAAAATAGAATCTCACATACATGTCAGCTCTTTTCTACTACAGCAGAGCTGCATAACAATCTTCTTTAAAATATTAATAAAAAGCTTTTACTTGAAACATCTCTTTATAACCTGTTCCAGCATTAAATGAGCATAGAGTTCACATTGGTAATTCATTCTCAAGAGATTCTGTATAACTATCACAAATCAGAGCACATCAACTCCCGAGAACTCCAGCACAAAACAACTGTAACATATCACACCATTTCCTGTATTCCTTTTGAAGTAATGCCTTCACACACAGTAGCTACATTTGCCTCAAAACAAATGTAATTTTTCAAAATTACTCCCTTCAGTTATTTTACCTTTAATTAAAAACAGATTCAAAGCATTTGCCCGACACTGAAGGATAACTAAAGAACTAACAAATCTTGCCAACATACCAAAGATAGCAGTAGTTTTATGGGATGACAAGGAAAAAATTCAGTAAAATAAGAATGCAGTAGCATACTATGGAAAGTACTAATCATTCTCTAAAAAGGAATTCCTAGTAAGATATTGGACGCAAGGAAAACTTCTTGAGCTTCTTGAGGGGGAAAAAAAAAAAAAACAGAAAGAAAAAACAAAACATAGCAAACCCACCCTGGATAGCCAAAAGCTTTCTCTGTCAGAGGGTTTCAGATTGCTACAAATTGAGAAACACCTGAACGGGTACTTCAACAAGTCAAGTCATGACTAAAGTCAGATAAAAGTCACTTCTAGAACTATCAAATTAGTAGAGCCATCTTGRGGAAAAAAAAAGAAAAAACAAGACAGCAGAGGAGCAAGCATAACACACTAACTAGTGACAGGAATTTTTGCAGGTGTAATCTGCAGAGGGCGAAATGGTTGAAAACTGAAGGGGAAAAAAACAATCAGGAAATAATCCCAGTAACGCTCAGAAAGAACAAAGGGCTTTTCTACTTCACTAACACATGCTCACCAACTAAAGTACAAGGTATAATATACCTTGTAAAAGCACCAAGTCAGTTTACAAAAGTTTATACTTCCTAGACAACTATTAAAATAATTATTTCCTAGTACCTTAAAAGCCATTAGGAATAAAAACAGATTCTTCGGTTGCATAACAGCTTGTATATTAATGACTGGTATTACATGGTTTATTACTTCTCCCAGCAGCTTGCCTTTTTAATCCCCATATAGCATACAAACCGTTTGTTTTTYAGAGATGCTTTCAAAAACAGACATTATCTGAACAAGTGTATTCAGATTGATCTTTTGAAAAAAATAT